GGTTGTATTGTTGATTATTGTATTTATGGTTTTGATTGTTTAAATGTTTAATGTTTTTGATTTGTATTGAAACTTATGTATTGACGACATGTGTTGTTGACCTCTTGGCCAGGTCACCCTTGTAAAAGAGATCGTGATCTCAATGGGTTTTTTTACCTGGTTAAATAAAGAGAAGTAGTGATAGAAGGACACCAGCAGTTTCTCATTCAGATTGTTTTTCTTCAAAAGACGGAGAAAATACAATCTCTGCTGGGCCTTCTTGATACTTCAGACACTGTAAAAGGTTATGGCTGTTTGAAGCTTTGGGGCAAATCTTTAACAAATATGTGGTGTCTGGTGTTTCATAATGGAGAAACGTGTCACCCATTGCTGTGCTTTGTTTCACTGATGTGTTTTTGATCACTGTGAACAACAACTTAGGATTTCTGGCACAGACGAATAAGCTGATCCAGGGTGGCTCCTTAGTCATGGGTTGGCTCACTGTTGGCTTTAGTCTTGATGGGTATTGCTGAAAATATTATTAATATAGAAAATGACCGACCTTATCTTTTAACTTAAATCACCTCCCGATTTGTAAAAGAGGATTTCTGCTACTGAATGTAGTAAGAGAGCTGAATACAGCATGGAGAAGTCAGGGAAAAGCCCGCCGCACAATGTGAATGTGGTGTAGTTCATCCAGGAAGAGAAACATCTTCAATTTTTTTTTTTGGCATAGTTACAGGGAGAAGGTTAATGTTTGAATGAAGAGATGGCCAATTTGCCATATCATGTGATAGATGCTGGGAGTCAGGATCATTCACTCACCTAACTGTAGCACTCATGATTTATGGAGGGAGCTTCTGTGGAAGTGTGTGTCCTTGTTACTGAATAGTTGGAGTTGTCATGGCAGTGAACCATTTTGAAATCACATAAAAGACTTTTTATGGACCCAATTTCTTTTTCTTCCAGTTTTTCATTTCTCTGAATGAGCAATATTCAAAAATCAGAAATGACAGAGGCTGAGAGATGACCTATAAAGAATGAAGGTCAGTGCTGAGCCCTACTCTGGGACCTCACAATGATGTAGGGTTATAAGAATTATAAAATGAAGTGATAAAATTAGAAAGTAGTATTCAAATTCAGAAGCTACAGGTTGGAGAATGAAGCTCATATATCCACACAAGCTTGATACAAATCAAACCAGGACCAGTTGTCACTCTACCGTAGAACAGGCTACAAGTCTTTGGGGCTTTTTCTCAGTTTTTAATTTTTGTGTTTTGTTTGTTTGTGACCCATGTCACACCTGGAATGAAAATATATTGTGGATCTGTGTAATAATCAATCAGACCACATGCATTCGCTGTATTGTTAAATCTGTTTGTTCTCATGTTCTGTATTATGCATAAAATGTAGTTCGATTTTATTTTTCGTGTAAGTTATGCAGAGTAGGTAAGGAGCTGTCACTGAAAGCGATGGACAACAGAGCAGCTGTAGGGGTCACAAGATGCTCTGCACAACTGGAATTTATATTTAACTACAGGTAGAATGTGCTGTTTTTATCACTGTCAAAGCACCAGACACCTCCAGTAATATCAGATTGAGTGAGATTGTAGGAATTTCCTAAATGTTGGCCCTGTTAAATTTTTAATTATTAAACATGTGCACCTCCCTTAAAGCACTTGTATAACATGTGCCTCAGGCAGCAGTGTGCCAGCCCTGAACACGGTCATAAAAATGGTAATGACCAGGAGGAAGACAGCACAAACAAGTCAGAAGGGCAGGACTGACTCCTCATTAGTGGAAAACTCGAGGCACTAGATTCTTTGCAGTGGTGCACCAAGACTCAGCCACAGCCGTCACACCACTACTTGGAGCAACCTCTCATTTACCTCCTGCCAGCATCCATGGGGGAGTTCAGAAAATTTGCAGTTGGTTTCTTTCTGGTCCCCACTCCCCTCTCTTTTTGCACTGTGCCAATTAGGAGAGCGTAAGCGACACCCTGGGCCATTTTTCTGAGCCGTGGCTCACAGGAGATGTGTAATTGGAGAGAAGACACAGACCAGTGGGTCTCCTTCTTCTCTCTTTTGTTCTTGTATCTCCCTGCTGCAGTGCAAACCCCTGCCCACTTCTGCATTCACACACAAAACCGTAAGTGCATAAAGGTAATGAGACGAGGAAGTAGATAAACTGCGCGATCGTGAAGGATCTGCGGTGATGTACGGGCTGGCTGAAACACAGTCGCCTCTCAGGGTCACATGGTGTTCCGCCTGATGCAACAAATAAGAAAGCAGTCAAATGTAGCACCTTTACTTTTCTAAGGCACATTGAAAAGGGCTGTAAAATGAGAAACTGGGTTAACACACTGTGATCACGCTGTCCAGTTCATCCTTGTAACGATGAGGCTCACATCACAATATGTACACTTCAGAAATTGGCACTTTATAGCTGCTGCAGTGTCTCCTGGGTGTTGCCTAATGCTCCGCATCTGAAGCTGCACAAATTCCTTTGCTTTGATTGAAAACTAGGCTGTGTATCGGCCAGTGATGGCTTTCAGCAACAAAACTTAGGTTGTATATTTATCTTTGTAAAAATAAACTTTAATAAATGACAGTTCTCAAAACATACAATACAAAATACAACCCAGCTGGAACATGCATCTATGATTCCAGTATATTTTTGGCCTTTCTAACCTTTTTTTCCAGATTTGTGTGTTGTGCTTAACTATTACTTCTCAGTTACTCAGAAGCCCTCAGACTGCTGTTTGCAGGACTCCTAGTAAATGCAACACATACAGACAAGTTAGAAAATAAAGAAAAAGCCTGAATATATGAGTGGGGAACTATAACAAAGGCGTCCCAAAGGCTAGCTGTAAATGGCTGTGTACTCAGCACTCGCACATCGCTCTGTCTCTGCAGTTAAAATATTTGCCCCATCTTCCTGTTTTCTGAGCTCACAGACTGCTGCCAGGGGAGAGACTACGTCTTCGTAATATTTTTTAATCCGACAGCTGGGTAATGGGACAGCCACAGCTTCATTCTGTCTCTCTAAAGACCACTCTGTCAGGAAGACGTGTTTCACATCATCTCTTCACAATGACTCCAACTGGGGCCGATTAGATGAGGAGAGGACGTGTGTCTGCCAGTGTGATCTCATGGTTATTAGTCATTTTTCTCTCTGACTAGGTCTCAACTTCAATCCCTTTTCTTATGTGAGCTTTACTAATGCTCAGTAGTTTTAAATATGTTGACCAGTTGGGAGGAAGTCTTGGCAACAAGTAATAGCTAGATACGTTTAGAGCAGATGAGCTCCAGAGATCAACAACCTACAAACTGCTAAATCTCTGAGAACTGGTATTTGCTATTGTATCTGTTATTTACAGATCACTAAGTTGAGTGTGTGACATGCTTCTGAATTCATTTGGCTGTAAGATGTGCACGCTGTGCTTCAGTCCATAGACGTCCTACTGACTAGCTGAATGTCAGCAATGAAGGACTCGGCATCACTTCAGCAAATACACCACCTGCTTTGGTGTGACATTGAATTTCATACTACATTAAACATTTTGTCCTCTGTGACGAAAGAATCATAAACTTTTTTATTTTACTCGGGTTTGCGCTGTTTGCAAACGCGTCCTGGACTGACAGCTAGACTGACACTTTAACTGATAGTGTACCTTTCTGACTTCTTCTCTTCTGCTTCATGTCTCGTGTCTGCGGCCTCGAATGAAAAATGAGGCGAGTAGAATTCTGCTGAAATGTCACTTCACGTTTCTTGCTCTAGGCATCGTGTGTCATCACAAGGACACTTGAACTGAAAACCTCTAAAGGACAGTTTCCTTCACAGTTGAACAGGATTGAAACAATACATACCGAGCATTGTTATAAAGTACATGTGAAGTAAATTATTGTCGTCCATCTGTTTTCTCTTTCTCCAGTGTGGGTGTGGCTCTGGGGTTTTGTGTCCATCACCATCATCAGTCTGCTGTCTCTGCTGGGTGTGGTACTCGTGCCCATCCTCAAACAATCCTGCTTCAAGTTCCTTCTCACCTTCCTGGTGGCGCTGGCAGTGGGCACGCTCAGTGGCGACGCTCTGCTTCACCTGCTGCCTCATGTGAGTACACCAGACGCAGCCTGCAGACGACACGTGAACAGTCCTTTCATGGAGCAGCTGAGTGTGTTGGGTTCTGTATTTTCTGCTGTGATGTGTGTGTTCTTGTCTTCTCCTTCCACTGGGACACACCCAAAATAGAAACATATCAAAAGTCAGGCTGGACAGTGACTTACCCCCTACATAATTTAAACAGGAGAAACCAGTTGTCATCCTCCTGCACAAGGCCATCTTCACTCTTTAAATACCGTGCTGTCTTCTCACGATGACCAGTCAGTGCCGGACTAACGCTGGAGGACCCGGTGACCATACCTATCTGCACACATTAGGCAAACACTTGCACCGAGAGAAAACAAAAGCCAGATTGCAGCCACAGTACAACTTCATAATCACACAGTACATTTCAGTGATACCAGCCATCCTCTGCTTCACCCACACTGCTCATCGTGCTCAGTGTTCTCTCAAGCCAACTAGGCCTTGCCCGCCTCTCAGTCACCTTGCGTTCCTCTCTCTGTTTTCAGTCGCAAGGACAGCACGACCACAGTGAGAATGAGACAAGCCAGGACACTGATCTGGTATCAGCCTTTGATGGAGTGTGGAAGGGGCTAACGGCGCTGGCTGGCATCTACCTCCTCTTCATCATTGAACACTGTATCGGCATGTTTAAACACTACAAAGACCAAAGGGTAAGATGAACACAACCCATCTGTAGACATCGGACTAGGCTGAACCTCAGTTTCAAGGCTTTTATGAGTCACCAATTTTCACAAGCAGCTGCTTTTGTTTTCTGTGGACGGAACATAACTGTGTATCTGCTCACAGGGCGTGAAGAAGGGCAGTGAGGAAGGCAAGATTGGCAGGAAGCTGTCAGATCACAAGCTGAATCGGCGCTCAGACGCAGAGTGGCTGCACCTGAAGCCACTCAGTGAAGGTAAGAAGTGCTGGGTCACGCAGTCTTTAAGCAGGTCACAGCTTTGTCTGTGCTGCTGTCACTGTCTCCTCTCTCTTCCAGACCCTGAGAGCACAGCCATCTCCTGTGAGAACAGTCACAACAACACGCAGCTCACGCAGCTCACAGAGCTCACAGAGCTCACAGAGCTCCAGACACCGGACTCTCCCACCACTAAGACATCTCTCACACCCACAAACTCCCAGCAGGACCAACAGCCATCCACCAAGGAGAACGGACGCAAAGCCAAGCAGCAAAGACACAGACACTCCCACGGCCACGGACACTCCCATGGTGGAAACTGCCACTCAGACCAGGAGATGAAGGATGCTGGTATAGCCAGCATCGCCTGGATGGTCATCATGGGAGACGGCATGCATAACTTTAGTGACGGCCTGGCTATAGGTAACCAGCTCAGAGTTTGTGTCTCACCAGCACCGTGTGACTCCACGAACAAATCTTAATGTTGGATGAGCATTTCTTAGCACAAGGTTACTTACGGCCCTCATCAGCACACAGAGTCCCAGACCTCTAACAAGCTGCCCTTGTTTCAGAGGTTTTCAAATTACGATTGGTTATGGGTTGTTGCTCTACAAATTGAATGGGTTTAAACAGTTAAAGACTTGTTTGACTATATGAGAGATATGCTTCCTCTCTTGCCAAGAGTTAGATGACAGATAGATCATAGATACCACTGTAATGTCTGTGTGTTATATGAAGCTATGGCCAGCAGCCAGTTAGCCTTTGGGTAAGACTGGAAACATGGGTAACAACTAGCCTCCTCTGTCCAGGGGTAAATAAACAAGCCTCATGTTTGTTTAGTTCATACAAAAACCAAAGTATAAAAAAGGGACGTTTGTGGTTTTACAGGGCAGTAAGTGGCAGGTTGTTTTTTTGGCAGGGAACAGTAATTTCCTGGAGGCTTGTTCCGCTGAGGCTGATGACTTCTGAGTTGAGAAAGAGCACAGGCTCCAGGAAGCCACTGCCTGGCCAGACTAGCTGGTTCTCCCTTTGTATTTATCAGATAGACATGAGAGTGATTATCAATCTTCTTGTCCAGCTCTTGTCATAAAAATGAATACGCTTACTTCCCTAACAGTTTCACTGTGATTTGTCTCTCCAGGAGCAGCGTTCAGTGCCAACCTGACAGGAGGCATCAGCACATCAGTGGCTGTTTTCTGCCATGAATTACCTCATGAACTTGGTAAGTGGAGTGCACCAAGACAGAGTGTACAAAGAAATAAAGAAGTCATTTACTCATGACATACGTCACATTCACTTAGTCAACAAGCAGAATAAAGCTGCTTTGTGAAGCCAGTGCAGGTGGTTCACATGACTATAATCGCTGTCTCAATCGGTGCCTCGTGCAAAAGCAGCTCTTTTTCTCACTTGAACAGAAACTCCAGTCTGACCGAGCCTTGTGATCCTCTGTCCCTCGAAACCTGTGAAAACCCAGTGGTGTCAATAATCATCACTCTTCTCTTCACTTGTGAAAAATGCTCTTCTTTTGCCAAATTAATGGCTTTAGTCTGACAGCAGCGAAATGACTTGTCACAGCGTCTGTCTGCGAAGATGAGGCACCGCGCCTGGCACATATTGTTCAGTACAGTCAGACTCCTGAAGACGGTGCAGCTGCTGGTGTGTTGGTTTGCATTCAGAGCCGTTCTCTCTGAGGACTCGGCAACAGTGAACACTTTGGTTGTGAGTGGTGCTTTCTGTGCTCTGCTCTGCCTGTTTGTTTATAGTGAGCGGGAGACGTGGCAAGAGTCAGACAATAGTGCCATCCACGCCAAAAGAGCACTAATGATATGTCTCATTGGTGTGTGGTTTCAGTGCCTTGTTTGTGTTTGATGTAGTGTCAGTTATAGGCAGAGAATGAACTGGTGTAAAGCCCCCCCCCTCCGCCCTACGGTGCCCAAAAAAAATCTGCTGTTGTTGGCTGTATCTGTGAGGCTTCTGGGTCATATAGAATAAGAGCCTGAGCTTTGATGCGGCTCCAACATTTTTGTCCTCTATCGCTATTTTTACTCACTTGGTACTCGAGTTTCCAGATGGTTAACTGCAGTGCGATTGCCATCTCAAGCAACATGCAAAGATTTACAAGATCAGTCTCTTTCCTGGCATGTAATTTCCTGTAGATTCGGCGCTCTTCGGGAGCACTAGTCATCGTGCCTTCATCCCAGTTGGGCCACTTGTCAGATGAACCCAGCAGTTTGACAAGTGAACCTCTCAGCTCCTCCTCAAAACAAAAGCCATCCCCCGACTGGCAGCTGGATGGCAAAGATGATGATTATGAGGGTTCTTTAACCACCCAGAGTGAAGCTAATTGGCAGTGATGGGTGTGTTAATTGCGGTAGATGAGGCAGCGGCAGGCGTATCTGAGTGTCTGAAGGATTGGAACTAGGGAGGCAGGAAACGCCACAGTGAATTGAAAAGCGGGAAAAAGGACCATTGAAGCGAGGTGTGTGCAGACTGTCTCGCTAGAACTTCTCCCCCGTTTTCTGTGGCTTTGATTGATGGATGAGTGCGGAGTGGTAATATATTCATTGTGGTAATTAGCGAGGAAAAGAGGCCGCTTGTTACACGGTGCAGGAAATGTAGGCCACCGTCCTTCTCAGTATTCATCTCTATTCCCAAATCCAGGGCGTTTCCGCTGAGACTTGGGCCCCTTCCCACATTTGGCCCAGCAATGATTGAAGAGGGTAGAGAGGCTATGGCTTGCATGTGTAATCATAAGTGTATCAGAGAGGAGCTGGGCATATTTCTTAGAAATAGCAGCTCCTGGTCTGTTTTTTTTCTTTCCCCACCTACTTGGAGACAGATAGTGGTGGCAGATGTGTGGAGAGAGTTTGTTTTGGACAAGTTCACCTCATCACTGAAGGCAGAGTCAGAATAGACTATGAAAATAGATTTAAAAAGAAACACAGTGTGACATGTGCCAAGCCATTCACTGAGGGATGCATGTGCACAAGAGTGCATGTCATTCCTCAAAACTGTAAACAGAAATTGGATACTATCACTGCTGCAGCATTGCACTTGGAATGACTTCTACCCTTCATAAACAGAACCTGGGAACAGAACAGGATCATTATGACACAAGTTGGAGGCATGAGTGTTGCATGTTGGCATGTGTGTTTAACAAGGCTGTTTTCACACTCGGTCCCTTTTAAATCAACCTAACTCAGTCCTCTTTAAAGTGGACCAATAAAAAAGGGACTCAGTTGTTTGTTCCGTATCTGGAGAACTGCAGTCGTCCATATGGGTATCATTAAGAGTTTTAACGGTACTACTACTGATACTGCTTATTAATCTGGCACTTTGCTCCGATCACTTCTTATTGTTATTTTTAAGTTAAAAAAAAGAGAAGCAGTATGTGGGAATGTGTAAATGTGTTTAAATGAGTGTGTGTGTCTCCTGGCTGACAGGTGACTTCGCGGTGCTGCTGAAAGCTGGGATGACAGTGAAGCAGGCCATTGTCTACAATCTGCTATCCGCCCTCATGGCCTACGTTGGCATGCTGATTGGCACAGCTGTGGGCCAGTACACACACAGTCTCACCAGCTGGATCTTCGCCATCACAGCTGGCATGTTCCTTTATGTGGCTCTGGTGGATATGGTAAGTTGTCACAGTGGACTTGACAGCCCCAGAGTGGTTCTTGTCCCCCACCCAAAAAACATCAGCTTAACTTTCACCGTCTCCTTTCCCACACGAGCAGCTATACCTGTTCTCTCTGGCCCCTTATGTGCAGAGCTAATTTGAGAAAGTCTGTCTGTGATCCCAGCTGATTACTTTGTCTCTGTCCTAGCTGCCAGAAATGCTTCATGGGGACAGCGAGGACCACAAGCGCTGCCAGCTGGGGCACTTTGTCCTGCAGAACCTGGGCATGCTGACCGGGTTCGGCATCATGCTGCTCATCGCCATCTATGAAGACCGCATTGTTTTCAATTTTGACTTTTAGTAGAGGAGAGAGGGATGGGAGAGCTGGATTATTTCAGTATTGTCCTTCTTTGCCTTAAACATGCTTTGGTTGCAGTGTATCAGCCCAGTCTTGCATGTGATGCGAGTCTTGTTCATGGCTCCATTCCAAACAGGCAGCGTTACCTTATGCAGAGCTCATGGCTCTGCTGGTGATGTTGACACTCCACTCCTCTGTCATCTCTCTTCCATCAGTTCCAATCTGTCTGCTCCCTGTGAAGCAAAAAAACAAAAAGAGGCTTAATGGAAGAAGAGCAAATCTGAACTGCAACAAGAAAACACCCCCTCTGCTCTGAACACATCTAAAAAAAGAATTCTTCTACAGTCTTCCTGCAGAGACCTATGTGTCATGGCCCAGCAGCTCCCCACCTATCCATCATCACCTGTTGTTAGCGTGTTGTCGTCGTAGTCCTCCGACGTCCTTGTCGCTTATCCAGCCTGTGCCGTATCCCATCATCCATGCCTTGTACATCTGTGGTCTGTGTTCCATGCCCCATCCATCATCTACTTTAAATGTCATCACGCTGTGTATCAAACATCTCGTGTCTGCATGCCAAGCCCTGGCCACTGGAGCGGCATCACAGCTGCACTGCACATTGTCCTTAAAGCGACACAGAGCTCACTGTAGCCAGCGTCATGGAATAACATCTGGAATAAACCCTTTAGCTCCTGTTTTCATCTGAAAAATATGTGGACAGCCTTTAAGCTGCACTGTCAGTGTTTCTCTGGCTGTACATGGGAGATTGTCTAAATGGCTCAGTATTTTTTTTTTTAGCTTTTACAGTCTTCTTTTTTTCTTTGTTTAGAAATTAGATGTCAAATGTCTGACCAACGTTTTTTAAGGGTTTGACAATCTGTAGCTAAATGAGACACGTGCTTGTTAGGCCTTTGCGTTTTTAAAGGCGTCAGCTGCATCAAAATGTGAAAAACTCATTAATCTTGTCTTGTTGAAAAAGTGCTGTAACTAACTAATTAGTTTTGGTTAGGGTGTCTCTTTGAATTCCTAAAAGGTGAAGCTAAACGTAGCAAAAAGCAGCTCAGCGTAAAATTTTGTTGAAGAACTTGTGTGAAGGAATAAATCAGCTTCCTGACAATCAGAGCCAGACCGAGCAGGAGACAGTTCTGTTGTATCACAGTAGAACTATACTCAGTACTGCAGTATTCCCTGCACTTGAAACAGGATTAACGCCTGGCTGTCAAACCATGGAACAACAGGTTATTGATTTTAATTTTTGCAAACATTCTTCATGTAGGTTTTTGGGTGTATATATTATTGTCTTTGTGGCGACTGCGCTAAAACTGGCCCCAGTGTAACAGTGGCTGGAGCTTGACACTGCCTCCACCCCTACCCCAACATTCCATTGGCTGCAGCTCATGTGACAAAAGCTAGCCAGCCTAGCTTCAACTGCTGGAGCACACAGATAGTGTGTGCATGTGTGGCCTCATTTATCCTGTCACTGTGTGACATCCATGGTCTATGTCTTAGCTGGCTGTAAATCATATTGAACTCGTGATATCGATCATGCATGAAGCATGAGTGAAGCAGTTCAGACATTGTGTCGAGTGTGAAATTATTGTCATTCTTTGTACTGCACAGTTAGAATATTGACAGTATTTACTTTTTTAAACTTAAGGTGTGTGGGGATCGTGAAGTCTTTGGGGTATAGAGTAACTAGTGTTAGGAGCCGTTAGCTGAAAGCAAATGATCTGAATATACAATCAGAATAGAACTAATCATCTGCATTTCCCATCTTTTACTAACATGCTATTTCATCCTGTGTTTCTGCTTTACTTTCATTATTCTAACATGACATAATGTGAGCTCATCTTAAAATGAGCTGGGTGGGGGGGTGGTAATACTTGTGTAAATTCAATTGAAACTGTCCTGTCAAGTGTTTGAGTTAGTGACACTATGCCCCAAAGTTTCTTCACCAACTGAGATGAAGGCCTGATTGTTCTTATTTTTGCTTTGTTATATGTATGTTTGTTAATCTGCATATACAGTGTCAAATGTGACATCTGTGCTGTTTACCTGTCTGTGCATTCACCCTGTTATGAAAATAAGTAAACTCTGAGAACAACCTTGACTTTAATGAGACCAGTGTGAATCCACAACAAAGTTTTCATTCTTTTTTTTTTTTATCTATGTGTGGGAGTATATAAAACAAAACAAAAAGATTAGGAGCTGAGCTGGCAGAGCAGGGCCACCCCTCGTCTGATCCAGTGCTCAGCAGGCACATCAGTGTTCAGCGTCATGGCAATGACAAAATTGGTGGAATGGCCAGTGGTGGACAGGGTGCCGCGCCGCTCGCTGGTCTTGTAGACGGGCGCCACGTAAGACATCCTCTCGGGGATGTCTTGCCTCTTCATGGGCTTCAACCACATCTGACAGAGAGAGAAGAACGAGGAGAGGGAGTTGTTACAGAGGGGGCTGACAGGGAGAAACGGACTCATGTTTGCCTGCTCTTTCTCCTCTGTCATTTGGAGGGCGTTCTCCTTTCAAAATATTTGACTAGAGGAATAATTCAACTGGCCAGTGGAATTCAGTATGCCTCTGCTGATGAGCAACCAAGTTAATGGTCCTGATTGCACTGACAAGGCATGATGATGGGCGTGGTTGTATTCAAGAAACAAAGCTAAATGTGTGGAAACTGTCTCAGTTTGTTATCTAAACAACTTTCAAAATTGAACTCTGGGGACATAAACTCATAAAACAATAGTAATAACATAGAAATGTCCCTCTGAGCTATTATGAAGTCTTGGGAGGAATAAACTGGGTTGCTCAAAAACAGTTTGTTAAGTTGCAGCCAGAAACGTAGCTGCCTGGTTTCCGTAACAGGCGCCTCATGAAGATTTGCATTTCAAAGCCAGCGTGGCTGTTGTTTTTTCCCCCACCACAAGTAATAAACAGATTTTTAATGAAGTTCCGGTCTGGTCAAAAACTGATTCTGTTAATAACTTGCCCTGAAATGTCTGATTATTAAAAAAGTCAGTCTTGTGCATTATTCATAATCACTGAATGCACTGTGAAGAAGCGAGAACAGAGGGAAAGAATAAGATGGAAAACTTGTTCAGTCTGTGCTCTTAGCTGCTGGCACTCCGTTTCATCACGCTGTCAGTCTACTTTCATGTTCCATATCAAACTCTTAATTAATAAAAAAAGATGAGAAAGCAAGACTTAGGCTTCCTATAGGCAGAATGTAAAAGAGTGCCGAAGCTGCTGCTATGTATTGAAAACGGTGAACATCCTCCTGGGTAAAGCTACGGTATTGGGGCTGCTCACTTCCTCCTCAGAGTCTTGCAAAATTGCACCAATAATTTGTGTGTGGAAGCTTAAGGTTGGCAGAGTAAGAGCAGAAAACAGGCTGAAAATTTGTAAAAAGGCTGCAGGACAGCGCTAGACAGTGAGTGATGTCACCTACTCTCCCCATTCAAATGAATGGAGAGGCTGAGAAATGTTCAAAAACACCATAAAATGTAAACTGTGATCATTCAAAAACTGCAATAGATGTCAAAAGCTGAATACAAGATGAATAGCTGAAAATGTGCTGAATTGTTTAAAGGTTGAATAGTTTTTCCTGTAAAGCTGAAAGGAGGAAGATTTGAAGATTCTCCCATTCATTTGAATGGGAAAAATTTGTTGAAAAATTTTAAAAAGCATAAAGGTTACAAAATAGATAAATACAAGCAGGACTGTCCTGTGGATGTTGCTGACTCAGCATCCACACAATTAATACAGGCTGATTTTATTTAGAATAAACCTACAACTTTGCCCCCAAAATCTATTTTCATAATGTGTTGAAGCCTCTACACACCAGTAGTCCCACTGTTGAGACCTTCTCAGGACTTTTATCCAACCAAACAGGCCTATTCAGTTTTACTATCATGACAAAAACCATCAAGCCAAACACCACTGGTCAAGATGGAAACAGTTAATGTTGCAGCTGCAAATCCATTTTTAATGAAAAAGAATAACGGAAACAAATAACTGACTCTGACAGAGCGGTGAACAGCAGCCTGTTTGTGGTCAGACAATGTGGACAACGTCTCCTCCCAGCAGCCCACAGCTTTAGATTATGAACCAGAAACTCAGCAGAGAGGACATCTGAATCACACTGAGCTTGAAAATTCATTCCTTGATCTAGACTGTGTAGATTTGTAACATCATGACTGGATTAAATAAAATAAAATAAAAAATCACAGCTGATATTAAGGTTGTGCCCTGGTGTCTTGGCTCTTTGGGGCAGTGTTCACTCAGTGGTACAGGCTGGTCACTCTGTGTTCCAAAGCAGAGACATCCTGTCGCTAAATGTTGAAGAATCGCCTTTTTTCTGGAAACACTATGATCAGCTGATGGAGATCAGCGTCACATAAGGCCTGTACCTTTAATGAAAGGGTTCCCCGCCCCTTGCTGTTTTATAACAAGCAGCACCTGCGCTGGTAAAATGATTATCGGTGGCAGAAAAGGAAATGGGCAGACCAACCATCCAATCATCAACAAGGGCTGTGTGCAGTGGGCGTGGCTACAAGTGTTTTAAATCTTGAGAGCAGGGGGTTGTTTGTTCAGTAGTCTCAGCCTGAGCTTCTAATTTTCTCCAGTGTTGATTGAAGTTGCCAAACACATTGTTGTGCCTGCAGAAAACCAGAGCTTGAAGTGTTTGGTAAGTACCAGAATGTTTCTTTAAACTGTTTGTTTTAAAGGCCATTTGACTCATAATATGTTGCCTCCTCCTGCTACAGGTGTGTGACGGAAGATGCCAAACACACACAACCAGCTGTGTTTGTGGCTGCTTTGTGTGACTAAATATCTAGTTAAGTAATGTCGGAAAACTGCTTTGACCAGGTCTGGACTCACAAGCACTCTAATCCAAAAAGGTGGGTGATGGGCTGGAAGTGGGCTAATGTAACCAGGCTTTGTTGTAGGCTAATTCTCAAAATGAGCGTCTTGTCTTTTGAACATTGTAGAAGGAAGTGTATCTCTTTTAAAATAACCTTGTATTTCCTGCTCCAAGACATGTGGCCTGTAGATTTAGAATAATTTGAGTCAAACAATTGTTTTTGTCTCTTCCTTTTTAGGTACTGTAGATCTACAAACTGTAAGTAAACTATTTTTTACTCTTTTGTGGGTTCCCTTGTCAGAGCCCCTGCGCCCGGGTTTTTGTCGTAGTGTGGTGACACAAGTCCTGAGTTTACTGTTCTAAGTTTACTGTGACATCTAGAGTGTTTAGTTCAGGTGTTTTTGCCGGCCCTCCATACCCAACTCTCTTTCCAACATGTCTCCTCTGTCATGACTATTTAGATTTTTATGTCGTCCAGGGCAAAGTGGCCATCTGTAAGTAGCTTTGTGTAATAGGCATAGATCTAGACTGCCAGGCACATAAAACCGCTAGGAGAACCTCTTAGGAGTTTTATCTGCCATGCAGTCGATCTCTATTGCTGGCTCCCACGTCGTCCGTCTGTCTGGCCATTTGAAGAACTTTGACAGTGTTTATCTACAAAAGGTATGTGGTTTTTCTTTACTTCTCTAACCTGGGTTTCTCTCCTGTAGGTGGTCACCGTACCACAATGATTTACTTACATTTTCATGAAGATATTTCACCGCTGCCTGTCGCTCTGTCCGTTAGTCCAAGATGGCCACCGGTCCGTCGGTTTGTTACGTTAAGCATCAGGTCATCATTTCAACATTGATCTACAAAAGTTACATGGCTTTTCCTTACTTCTCCAACCTGGTTGGCTTCTCCCCCCAGGTGGCCACAATGATTTTATTTTTGTCCTGGATATCCTCGGTCAATGTAGCGCGTCTGTTTACAAAGGGTAAGTGTCAGATCTCGGTCTCTCTCTTTCTTCTCTCGCTCTCTCTCAAACATGACCCGTGTGTCATGACTATTTCTGGCTAATCTGCTTGAATGTGTATTATTGCAATAACACTTTGATTTCAGGAAATCAACAAAACTATAAGTCTCATTTTTATTTTTCCCTTGTCACGGTAGCACCTGCCTGCCTCTGTCTCTATTTTTATTTCCGGGGTTCAGTGTCTTGCCCAAAGACACTTCGACTGCAAGCACCGAGATTCGAACTATCAACCTGCCGGTTTATTGTACTTTAGCGTTAAGCCTCTGGGTCATCTCGCTCTGCCAAGTTTCAAGAGGGAGCCTCTTGCTTTAAGTAGGCTCGGTAAGGTTAGAGTTTAGTTTTTTGCATTCTTAATAGATTTTCTGGACGTTGGGAGGCCTTCCAGCAGGGGAATTTATCCCACTCCTGCAAAGCGTTGTGCCATTGATACGGGGATACTTTAGACAGTTTCATATTTACAGTACCTACTTCTGTAGCTACATCTATGACAAATAGCAACAGAAACAAATGTGTTAGAGGTGGATACAGCTGCACAGGTAGTTGTAGGGTCAGCTTAAGCAAACTAAAGTTTCCTCGATCGCAGTAAACGTGTACTGCTCCTAGCAACCCTAGACGCAGCTTGTGTGTAGAGAGAAAATGGCTACTGATTGGATTAAATAAAACAAGATATGAGGCAACATGAATACTGTCATATTACCAGGCTATTTCTGAGAACTCTTACATCTGTTAACAGTTTGAGTGTTCTGTGCATAGTATTGTGTGTTGTCCTCACCACGGGCATGGGGTCATGCAGCACTTTGGGGTAGGACTCCGCAAGACGTTTGGTCTTCCTGTCCCAGCGAGCGCCCTCAAGGAACAGCCCTCTGATGTACACACCTGAGGATCACAGACAGTTCACAGGTACAAGAGAGGTGGTTGGTGTTACTGTGGTATAAGCTACCTTTTATATATGGAGAAATCCTGTGACTACAACACAAGCAGATGCTGGATGTTCCAACAATCAGAGGACCTTATGAATTGAGCTGAACCAAACTCTTCTCATAAAGCATCTGAGCTCTATTAAAAGCCAGAAAAGGAGCCAGACAGGATGCCCATAGTCAGGCATCCTGTTTGTATCTCACACCCAAATGCACAAAGAGATTGTTAGATCGGCCTTATAGGTTGTGTTAATGTGACGGGGCCTAGGTGGGGAGTGGCTGAGAGTGAGGCTTGAGAGGTTTTGACTGACAACCTCACAGCTGAACTAGAAGCACAACAAGGTGCTGACACAGGCCTGCATATAGATGAGAGGCAACAAGGCTTTGAACTCTGTCTCCCTAATATACAGTCAGACTAATTCCAGTTTTTATCTGCTTGTTTCTTCTCTTCCACCCACTGCATAACATCCATTATTTCACCTTATGCAGTGAAACCCCACTTTGCTTCATCTTTCCTTATTTATCTTTTTCCAACTCCCTCCTTCTTTAAGTGCTCTCTGTTCTTTTGGTTATTTTCTATGCCTTCATTAATCTTGGGTTGGTTTGTTGAATATGACCAGTTTCAACACTCTGCATTTGCTATCGCACATCCCATTACGCCCCCCCCCCATAGCATCCTACCATCCTGTGGGGGCTGTTTGTATTGGATGTCAGCCAGGACCTCGAAGTCGAAGCTGAGCAAGTCGATAGGGGTGGTGTTTTTCCTGGCATAGTTCTGCAGGCTGCCTGTGAGGAAGGCTTGGGTGAAAAAGAATCCTGATATCCAGAACACAGCAGGCATCCCCTCATCATACCAGTCCTGGTCACACAATAGGGCAGAAAAGTCTGGTAGTCAGAACACACTAGACCCACTCAATAAATGCAAAATTAAAATGTTAAAAAGAAACTCTTCTTCCCAAAATATTTTTGAGACATTTTTAATATCACTCAAAATAGTTGCTCCTTTTGGGCCTGAAGTTTCAGGTCACCAGCTCTCCATTGAGTTTCTAACCATGCTAGAATCTGTGTAAGGCTGTGCGACAGTACTGTGGTGGGTAGAGCAGTTGTCTCCCAACCAGAAGACTGAAGGTTTGAATCTTGGTGCCTGCAGTCCACATGCCAAAGTGTCCTTGGACAAGACACTGAACCCCCACAAGTTGTCCGTGAGGGCTGCGCGTATGCACGCAGCTGCCCGGGGCCCCTTGGCTCCAAACAAAATTTCGTTGTACACAATGTTGTGTTACAATGACAATAAAATAAAGCTTTTTCGTCTTTGGCACAGTGATGCTTTGAGCTGAATGCTGCCATTAGCATGCTAACATATGTTATGAAAATCTGTTTGGCTGAGGTTTATGTAAACTTTTGACTTCAACTGCATAGTACGTTTCTTCTCTGTGTGCCCAGTAGAGAATGTTCCAAAACATACTGTATCTAGCCTAGCTTAGCAGAAGGACTGGGAGCAGGGGAAACAAAGTCAAACCTACCATTTTGACACACTATAACTTGTGTACAGGGACCAGTTTGACCAGCAGCATGTAAGTGCCTGTGTAAGATACAGTATGTCTGTGTGTCATGGAACAGGCAGTTTACTGGACACCCTCTTCTCACCTCGTTTTAAAACAGACAGTTGTATTTCTGTATTATAGTGTTCTGTTCAAAAAGATGAGAAACCACTGACATCATTTCACCCTGTGGGAAGTCATGGGTGGACATTTCCATTGGATAACACACACAATGCATTCTTTTCACTCTAAGGAGTAACAGTGAACACGAGGAAACACCAAGGGGAAACATGGGACATAACTAGATTTAGCAGTTCACTGTACAGAATCGCATGATCATGTGTTCTGTGAAATGCAGTGAGTCTCCCTGTCCCCATCACCAGGCCAGGGCAAGAGCTGAAAAACTCCAGCAAAAATGGAATTTTTTTTTTTTTTTTTTTTTTACTTCTACCTAAACAAATTACCAAAATGGAGCATGAATAACTACTACTACTATGTGGGTTCTTCAGTGAGGGTTTTCACCCTCAGGTCACAAAATCAGCCTCCTGTCAGGCGTGGATGAATGAGAAAGTGTGTTTATGGGATGGAATACAATAGGGGGAGGTAAAGCACTGATTTCAAACACTTTGGACTGTTTAAACATCTGACTGTGATGGAAAAAGTGTAACCAGAATGTAGAATCATGTCTGTGTATGAAACAGGCCTCTGGGCTTTAGTAGTAGTGTTGCTCATAATGTGATTTATTTGGCACAGCTAGAAGGGCAATATAGTCAAGTTTCCAAACACAGTGCTGCTGCATGAGTGTATTATTCTATAGTCATGTTTCAAACGGGACAGCTCCTTATATTTAAACTTAGATAGTTGCTACTCAGCCATACTTTACACTACATGTTTTGCATATTCTTAACATAATGCCAACTTATGACCTCTAAATGGTGGCAGATTATGTTTTTATAACAGATATGGAGCAATCCCAGTAATGGTGTCATGTCTGCCAGTTTCCCTTTACTTTAACCTGAACCTTCTCTAATCTTGCCCCAAACCCCAACAAGTTGTCCTATGAGATGCTTAACCTGACCTCCGCTAAGCTTAAGCATAATCTAAGCTAGGCCCCTACCCCAACCAGGGTGGTGAGGTGCTAACAGAATACTATTCTAACAGGGAAGGAAACACTCTCAGGCACAAAGGGTCGAGGCAGGGTTCGGACCACTACAGAAAGTACAGTAAGCAGGGAGGCCTGTCTGTCACTTTCGGCTGTTCCCATTAGGGGTCGCCACAGCAAACTGTCGCACTGAGGAGTTGTGGCATGTGTTTTACGCCAGATGCCCTTCCTGACGCAACCCTGAATCGAACCCGGGCTGCAGCGGCGAGTGCGCTGAATCCTAGCCTCATCAGGTACCCCACAGTATATAATACCAGCTCTTCACCTCACGCCAAACACACCAATAGGTTTCCAGAGACTTGTAGAGACTTCAGCACTGAAGCAGTGTTTGTTCTCCCTTCCCCTTCTTTGTTATTCATAGCTTTTCTGCTTTTATCCTTTTAGGCTTTTCTTTTGCTTTAGACAATTTTTATATAACACAAAATGCTTATTTAATATTTCACCATCTGCGGCTGAGCATTATGGAAGATTTCAGTACCTGCAAGAACCTGAGTCGCTCCAGGAAGTCACTGATGTAGCTTCCCAGTGGTTTGAGGCTTGGGTAGGACTTTTTCATCCACAAGCCTGGGATACGACCCTTTAAGATGCTGCTGACCACCTCCTCCAGCTCTGCCGACATTACCACCAGCCCCTACGCATAAACACACCCACATGCAACAACCATGTGATTGACATCTTCGCAGCTTGAAAATGTGAAGCTGTTTATGCCAACACTGCAATCTAAGCTTGTCACTTCAGAACCTCTCTCTGGAGGGAGGTGACAGACATCCACGTAATGGGAACTCTTATCGCTCGGTAGGAGGCCTTTGATACCAGCATAAAATATGTGTTCATTCCCCTTCCTGACTCTTTCATGCTCTCTCAACTTCATTCCCATGAGGTTGGTGCATGTCAGAATGGGAGGAAATGTGTATTTGAGTTTGTTTATTAAATGGTATAAAGAGGCACGTGTGTATTCAGGCTTTTTTTTTTTTCTCCTTATTATTTGAATGTGGCATAATTGAACGTGCAATGTTACAGATATATTCATGTACAAATAATCAGATGATGTTCGATGTGGTCTTTTGCTTGCAATACTCCATGAACCAGATAATTAGTCTAATTAGTCTAATGCAGTGTAATTATAGTCTATGTCCTGGTCTGTGCAGAGACTCCAAGCTTTTGGAAATACAAAGTCAGTAATTTATTTATTTTTGCCTTGGGATATTATGACTTAAGTAACTACATTCCCTTGGTATTAGCACTGAACTCAAAGTACTGCAGTCCCTAAGTATACAGCCTCACAGATCTGGTATTGTGGCTTTAGATTATATTGTACAGTCTATGGCAAAGACAACAGAGAATACATAATGGAACTACAAGAACAGAGATACACAGTTCTTCTCAGTGCTGCAGAGGAAAAGAGCACTTTGTAAACGAAGGTCAAGTGCACTAGTTAAGGATTTTGAGATTTAGCTGATCGCTTCATTCCTGTCACTTCCACATGATCAACAGTATTTCTATAACAATCTTTAAAACAGCTCATTGCTCTATACCTTTAACTAATGCATAATCTAACAGTGATTGTAAAATAGTAGAAACAGATTTTTAGAAAGAAGCTCCTCAGAAGTTCCTCTGTTTGGTGGTTACATTTTACAACCTGCCTTAAACACAGTGACTGTACTATAATTATTCTTTATAATAGAAAAGAGTGCATTTGGAGTGATGTAGTGAATGCATACAGGATATGATTTCTGAGGAAGTATTAGTATTTCCTCTGTAATCCTTCAGCAGAGGTGTGCCTCCTCTGATGACACACTGCTTTCACAGCACAGAAATGTAAAATCAATGATGATTCATCCTGGTCATGTAAAACAAACATTTTATGTAATTACAATGCATTTGGCCATTTATTGATGATAAAATTTGTTGGAAATCTCACATTAAAAATATACAAAACAAAATGGCCAAAAGTATTTCTATACTGGCAAGGGTTAAACATATTCTGTATTGTTCATTGATTTTACCATATTTAGATTATTGTGTTGAAAGCTGGGGAAATACATACAAAAGTACACTTCAGCCATTGTATGTATTGCAAAAAAGGGCAAATAAGAATTGTCCATAAACTTGGATAGCAGGATCACACTAATGCATCATTCATACAGTCTTAAGTTGTTAAAAATTTTTGATTTAGTAGAATATAAAACTGCGGTGTTCATGTATAAAGCTAGGAACAATTTATTACCCAGTGGAATTTAAAAATTGTTTAATGAAAGAGAAGGGGGATATAATTTAAGGGGTCAGTTAAATTTAAAATTCATTCTATAAGTACAACTAAAAAAAGATTTTGTGTTTCTATAAGTGGGGTAAAATTGTGGAATAAGCTAAGGGAAGACTTAAAATATATTGCGTGTAGGATGAAGAGTATGATGAAGTGGGGGTATTATAATGGGATGAGATAGACTAGACCATGGGGTAGTTGGCTTGACGCTGGACGTTGGGTGCATGGCGTGGCTGGTCTAGGGGTAATTTAAGGGGCTGGTCGATGAGGAAATTGGTTTGTTTGGTATGTACAATGGATAGGGTGGTGATAGGATGGCTATATGGGGGTTGTTGGGGACTGGCACTGCTGTGGGTCTGAGTGTCCGGTGTTGGGCTAATAGTACCATGGTCTAAGAAAGGGGGTAGGACTAGATAAGTGTATACTTCTTCCTACTCCCTTTCAAGCATGTACTATTGGAATGTTGAAATGTCTTATGCGTATTGGTTGAAATGTCGACTCAATTTTGTTTTTCGCAATATCAATTTTCTTAGTTTTACATGCTTGGAAGAAACTTAAATTTAAAATAAAAATATATATATATCATGCTATGAAGATCCAAATAACAAGACTCACCGAAAATAGGACCAGGACTGAGTTCAAAACTAAACAGCTTCCAGCTTTAACTGTTATCATAAATTCAAGGGGAGTCAGGTGTTATTAGAACAAGGGTTTCTTAGCACTGTCATCGGATTTCGCTCAGTGAAGGTATATTTTAATACCTCTTTAAAAGCTCCTCCTCTAGTGTACCTTTATGGCCTTCTGAATGTCGATACAGGAGTGTCTGATGGTGCAGAGCAGGTTGTTGAAGCGGCCCATCTCCTGCACCAGCACTGTGTTCATGCTCTGATTGTAGCTGGTGGGGTAGCGCCTCATTGCTTCTTCCAAGTCAAAATCTCTGGGCAGTTTGCTCAGGATGTCAGCTGCCACATCAAAAACCATGTCATCCGAAGATCTGGCATCTCTGCCTGAAGAGCGAGACTGATCAGAGAGACAGAATAACAGAGGATGGATGAGGAAGGGAGATTCATGGCTTGGATTGATTTTACAGTTCATAACTTTTTGAGAAATTTATCTTTTGCTGTCATTGGCTTGTCAAATTAGGATTCTTTTGCACCAGTGCTATTGTGATTTGATTTTGATTTGATGTTAAAAGGTTCTACCTCTTGATTTGACTTTACCTATATTTAGTCACCTCTGTGCCAGATTAAGGTTTCTGAAGGATCTTTGAAAGCACCCAAAATGACACAGAATAACAAGATCTTATCAGTTATCTCTTAATTTTACCCTAGTATACCCCTCAGTAGACAGCGAAACAGCCCTCCCTCCAGAACCCCCAGGATTGCTGGTCAACAGAGCACCAGACACCTAACCAAATGGATGACTCAGAGTGACCTGACACCAACATTCAAAGTAAGCAACCTTTATCTCCTGACTTGACATTAAACCAGGGCACTGATCCTGGTACCTTTCTTTGCAGCCAAAGCCAACAGCCTGGAATGTCTGGTCTGCATCCCAGTACAGCCTGCAGACACTCCTGAAATTAACATTAGCTCACCATCAAAGACCCACAAACTTATCACCAACAACCTCCCATTGAGAACATCAGCAGTCCAGAAAGGCAATTATTATAAATCACACAGTATATTTGTCTTAAGTTCAGTCACACAACACAACTAAGCTGCTGTGCCACTGACTTGACTGCGGGCTTCTCATTTCATCTCCAGATTACATCCGGATTCTGCTACTCACCGATTCACTTACCACAGCCTTGTATCGTCATTACTCCTTTCCCTTTTGTGTGTCATCATGTTACTATATATTAGTTGTAGTATTTAGTGTTTTTCACCATAGTATTATAAACGTGTGTGGACCAAAGAGTGAATTTACTAGAGATTTCTTCATTTAACCTGAAAAGAGCTGTACCTGGCAAACAATGATTCAAATTATTATTAATCATAGTTCCAATTGACCTCTTTTCCATGGCCAGCAAGAAGGGTTATTGCCTATTATTTCACATACTTTCATAAAGTGTTCTCTTGCTGGATGAATAATTCCATATGTGAGTTATGTAGAGTAATTTTTCATGATTCCCTAATTAAATGATCAAAATTCCTACATTCTTTTGGTGGATTACAAGGACATACATTTAACCTACTTTCTGAGCAAAAGCTGGAGTTTAATGTCCATATATGGACATAACCACCACACAAAGGTTCACAAAGGGATTCTAGCAAGTGTAATCTCAGCATCCCATCATCAAACACACACACGCAGTCTCTTGAGATGGAAGGCTTCACAGCATTCTCCCCAATTTCCTCCCACACACTAATTTGACACAATCTTATCAACAATTCTAATAATCATTCATGCTGATAATTATTCACCCTCATATTCTGCTTTCTTCTCAGTCTGACTTGTGCTGTTTGCCTATTTGTTGCTCAGTCAGTAGCCAGCAGTAATGGATAATCATTGCCTAATGGCACTGGGGTTACAGTAGGGGAATGACAAATAGCCGCTTCATTCCATTGCCGTGTTTATCGGTCATTGAGACGGATGAGACCATATTAGATGCTAATACAGTCCACACATGACTGAAGCCATTATTAATCTTGTTGAATGCAGTTTATATGAATAAATGTCAGACTCCATTGAGCTCTAATTTAACTTGAAGTCTAGAGGTGGTAATGCCTGTGGAAAAATTTTGAAAGATTTCTATTTGTTTGTAGCAAGTTAACTGTCAAAATATAACAATATATAATGAGCTGAAGGAGGAACATATAGAAACACTTGTCTGGGCTTATATGTTGATCTCTTGCACGTTTAATATCAAGTTTAATTCCCAGAAGAATTCCGACAATTTACACTTTTGAAACATTTTTGACAATTGAGAGGCGCTGCTCCCTATCTTAAAATAAACGGATACACAGATAAATATCTTTCCACTTTGCAGAAGAAGCTGTACTGTCACGTTGGTCATGATGTGAAACCCCACAGAGTTCATCTGCAGCAAACACTGACTGGAGCTGGGAGGAGGTATGGATATAATCCTCATCGAGCGAACACAGTCTAACTGTACAGAGCTGAGATGTAATGATGTGGGATCACACGGCACCACCAAAGCCACTGTAGTCACACTGTGTCTTTACAGTCAAAGGAAGACGAGCTACTGAGAGAGAGGCTTTTATTCTTTGAGGTTTCTGTGCAAATAACTGAAATATTTAGTTATATTTTTCTCTTTAATTAATCTTGTATAGTATATTTTAATGGAGGGCCATAAAATACTTAGGGCTGGCAAAGGATACTAGAGGCAATCATACTGATGCTGTGTGTAGTTATGTGAGACACTACTTCAGTGTCTAGGTAATGTGCTTTCATAAAAATAGTCCAGTCTATTTATTTTATGCATATGTTTGCATCATGAGTTTGCTGGGTGACAGTGTGACAGTGCATGTTATTTGGAGTACCAGCTGAGTAGTGACATCCCATCTGGCATCTGAAATGTTGGTCAAGAGGAGGCACACTGGTTTGGGAAGCTACCCAGGGCTGTTGGTGCTGAAAAGCTTTTTTCCATCTGTTCCCATGCCAGGCCACTGAGCTGTTTCATACTATCTGTATTTTTCACACACCCCCCCACCCTTTTTTTTTTGGGTAGCAAACATGCAGGTCAGGTAAGCTATATTTTCAGAGGGTGTAATGGCTCAAATGACATACTTCAGAAATTATTCAGCATTTGTATGTTTAGCTTAATAGAAAAAAAAAATCCATCTAAACATTCTGTATTTCTGTGAGTTTGCACTTGTGCATATATGACTAGCAACTCAATCAATATAATAGCCATTTTATCAGGTCTAGGTGGAATTACCTGTGTAAGCAAGATGCTGTCAAACAATAGCTGTGTCTCAGCCTGATCTTTGGTGATATCTGCGTTGGCGTTCATGCCAAAAATCTCTGGCAGTGGGTTGAGTGGCAGAGATTTGGTGTATTCTATGTAACTGTTGTACTGCAACAGAGATGTAGAGAAACAAAGGCAGAGGAGCAGGGTGAAGTTAGGGGACATTTTTTAACGCAACATCAGGAAACATCTCGAGTAATAACACTCATTGAAAAACAAGTCGGCTCCTTAGATTGCTGACATTTATTATAATGACTATGTAAATGTGACTTCATGAATAAAAGATGTTGTTGGAGGGGGGGTGCAGCACTGGAGAACAAAATGCCAAATAAAATGGAGAGTGCCATAGATTGCTATTGTGTTAAAAAACTACATAAACTCTCACTGATGGTGGTTGCCTGCTGTGCCTTGTTACACACATTTTATCTCCTAATGACTTTTTAAAGGTAACGCAACAACAGTGCTGAGCAGGTTCAAGTCTCGTAATATGCTTAGTTTAAAAACAAATACAATAAAAGTAGTTGAACTTTTCTTGAGTTTTTAAGGAAATGACGCACTGGGCTTTGTGAAACTGTTTCTGCTCTGCTGTTGTAATACACAACAGTTGTTAAGAAAAGCTGCACTGTTGGAAGATATTCAAATAAGATTTTTGATATTTATACTTAAATATCAAATTAAATAGCATAGTGCATAACATCACTATGCTGCAGGGTACCATATCTTAAAAACACAGTCAGCAATGCAAAGCACAGATCTTACGCCACCCTATAACTGAGCTACAATGTACAGTTGAAATCAGAAGTTTGCATACACTTAGGCTGCAGTCAATAAAACCGATTTTTTTTAACCACTCCACAGATGTCATGTTAACAAACTCTCATTTTGGCAAGTTGGTTAAGACATGTACTTATGCATGACACAAGTAATTTTTCCAACAGCTGTTTACAGATTGATCATTTCACTTATAATTCACTGTATCACAATTCCATTGGGTCACAGGTTTACATACACTCAGTTGACTGTGCCTTTAAAAAGCTTGGACAATTCCAGAAAATGTCATGGCTTTAGAAGCTTCTGATTGGCTAATTGACATCATCTGAGTCAATAGGAGGCATACCTGTGGATATATTTTAACACCTACCTTCAAACTCAGTACTTTTTTGTTTGACATCATGGGAAAACTAAAACAAAACAGCCAAGACCTCAGAAAAAAATGTGGACCACCACAAGTCTGGGTCATCCTTGGGAGACACTTCCAAACGCCTGAAGGTTCCGCATTCATCTGTACAAACAATACTACGCAAGTATAAGCACCATGGGACAACGTAGCCATCATACCGCTCAGGAAGGAGATGTGTTCTGTCTCCTACAGATGAACGGACTTTGGCCTGAACAGTACAAATCAATCCCAGAACAACTGCAAAGGACCTTGTGAAGACACTGGAGGAAACATGTACTAAAGCACCTATCTCCACAGTAAAATGGGTCCTACTAGGGAGGAATGGGCTCAAACTTCAGCAACTTATTGTAAGAAGCTTGTGGAAGCAAACATCTGACTTCAACTGTATGTGTTTGCAGGATAAATACTGTACTTGGTTCAGATAAGAAAGAGGGGAGCCGCTTTCATCTGCTTAAAGGATCGATATGGATGAGTTTATCTTCATACTGTATGTACACATGAACACTGGCAGTAAAAATACCTGCATTTCATAGACTATCAGTGTTAAAAAAAAACAGCTTTTTAACAGTTAACAGCCCGTATCTAAAACAGACGTTGCCCCTCTCTATGTGAAATACCGTGACAACCTTTCCATATGACATTCCCTAATCGCTGTAAATTTATGTATGATTTTTGGTTTCCTACATCTCCCTCAGCTGGTGCACAGTAGAGCCCGCTGGAATCAAACTTGTAGTCAGGGTCCTCAATGATCTTTGAAGTGTAGAAGATAGAGAGGATTGTGCGCAGTGTCCGTCTGTCCCAGTCATCTGTCACACGCCCTCCATAGTTACACTCACCGGTCATGTAACGGAGGGCATCAAATGGCACTTCCTGCAGGAAATAAGAAGTAAGACATTTGACACAGAAAACAAAGAATGACCATGCATCAGCGTAGGAGGACACTTGAAGAGGAAGTGAGCATTGACAAGTGCATGATTTCATTACGTTTACATTCTTTGTGCTGCATTTTATATTCTTATGCAACAGAAGAATGAGCTGAAATTTACTTCAGGACCCAGATCTGGAATAGAGAGAGACATAGGTAGCAGGTGAAAGGGTGGGACTGTGACCTTGTGGCACTGTCTGGAGGAGAATTTCACTTACAAATTCACTGAGCAATACTTGGTTACAAGTTGAAAATGTCATTCTGTTCAAAAGAGATTTCTTTTTTCTCAGCTACAGCAGAGGAACCAGGAGGAACTGGGTTGGATCTGTTTGTGGAAAAATGTCAAGAGGTTCTGAATATGGCTGATGAATGCAGATACTTGAGAAAAGAGGAAGCTACTTGTAAAAGCTAGAATTTCTATTATGGACTTGGTGAATGCTGAATAATGTATATACTGTACGTATGTAGGAGTGGATGTGCACCTGCATGTGAGAGGGCTTTATTTTGTACCTCAAATATGAACTTAGCTCCCGTGAGTCTATATAAAATACTGTATATATGACATAACAAGGCAGCATTAGTATGCTCTAGTCAGCAAGGAAACATTTGATAGTGTTTCTGATTAAATGAGTTACAAAGTGCTTTGCATGATACAAATACTATAAGTCAAGAAATGTAAAAATCATCGCTGAATGAGAGAACCCTTAAAAAGAACCACCTGGTACTGCTCAAGGAACATGTGTAGCTGCTGTACAGATATCCGGAGGTCAGTCTCATTGAACTCATACGGAATGTTCCAGCCTAAAGGTCCGAAGTTCCTCCTCTCTTGGGTCAGGGCATGGAAGAAACACAGGCCATACAGCAGTTTCTTGAAGGCAGCCTGAAAATCAAAGACATGGTCTAAAATAAATAGCTGTGGTCAATTAATATTTTCACAGCTAAAACAAACACATTCTGAAAAGCACAGCGGTGGGTAACAATAGGCACAAAGGAGCACAGGACATCTGATGTAGGCATGATACAGTAGATATGCACAGCAAGCCACCTAGGCATACAGTGCACAAACACATGCACACACTGACCGGCTTGCTACAGCTGTCAAAAAACTCTGGGTCAGAGATGGGGTCCATTAAGAAAGAGCGTGCAATGTTGGGGCGGAGCCCCTTTGGAGCCTCGTTGGTCATCTTCACCCCATTCTGAAGCACAGCCACAGGGAAGGTGGGAGATGGGTAACTGGTCAGCCACAGCCTGAAGTCTGGGTGAGTGGTGTCTGGGTTCAGCTCCTGCTCTCAGCCACACAGACCAAGAAGGTAAATTAATATACTGAAAAGAATGCATTATCCCTGCTCCCACTGGGTATAGAATCCACGTTTATTATGTTCTGACCTCACAGACTCTCTCTAAAGTAGACATCCAGGAAGTAGCTAAGTGGCAGTTCTGCAGGACCACCCAGGCACCCTCTTTAATGCCGGTCTCAATCATATGCATAGCAATAGGACCCTGGCCTTGGCCCAGAGAGAGGGAGGTCAGCTTGTTACCAGTAAAGCCCTAAGGGATAAGAATATTCATGACACACAGTCACTTATGTAGCTGTTTTTTGCCCTGGTAGGAGTCAAAATAAATTTCAGTGCTTTTAAGACGCGCATGTGAGCCTGGTAACTGTTGATCTCCTTTCGCGTTTGTACACATAGCAGGTTTCAAAGCTACCAAATATCCCAGATGTCTTGGTACCTTTTCATCTCCAAATTTGAGCAAAGCAGCCATGGGATCTGAGCCAGGGGAGAGGATGAAGATGAGGGGGGCACAGCAGTGGCTATCAACAAAGGTCTCACTCAGGTTGAAGGGTGGTGCTTCGATGAAGGGATGACCTAAACTGTCTGAAACAAACTCCTGTACCATGGGAATAATCTGGAGGACAAATAAAGTAGTAAAAGTTGTCCTTGAAATAATTCCAAAAAGCGTTTAGAAATTCTGAAGAAGTTTTATGACCTAAGATCACAAAGATGTTTAAGAAAATTGATTCACAACTCAGTATCCAAATAATGCCTGACAAAAAAAAAAAAAACACTTTATGAACTAACCTTGTCTGGTCTGAGACAACGAATCACTAGCATTTTCTGAAACCGACTTAGTTTCTCCTCCCACACGTCAGGGAAGGGCGTCTGATGGGGGTTCTGCAAATATTCACAGCACAACCTCAATTATACTGTACATAAATAGGAATCACTGCAGACTCCACACTGGAGCTATGCATATGCTTCTAAGTAGTAGCATGACTCACTCATGTATGACCTTTGCTGGTTAAAAATGTACTGCAAACATTTAATCTCCTGGTTTTTTTTTGTTGCAAAATGATAGTTGCATTAAAAGAAATTTTAATAAAACATTCAAGAGGCTGACCTAGAATGCAATCATGCAAATCATAAGACAACCAGTGAGGCCACAGAGATGACTGAAATTTCTCATTCTGAGTAGCATTAAAAGATGTAATTTAGTCATTTTAATCATCAGTAAAGGAGGCATGCCCCTTATGATTTCCTCAAGAAACATGCAGCTAAATGCCTTTTTGCCAACTTTTCCTGGAGAGGATGGGTGGAGAATAGGGGTGGGGCAGCATTATATTGAGCTGTTGCAAGATTAAGTGATTTAATTAAGCAAAAAGAGGGGTAATCTGTAATATGAATCGGGTGGAGATTAAAGCAGGCAAAAGATAAATATGTATGAAAAAGGACAGACTAAGGAAAAGGGAAAAATGGAAGGAGAAATAGGTGGGGAAGCAGAAAACCCACTGGGTACTGGGTCAGAGCAATATATCTGATTAATTTGTGGAACAAGTGTACCAGAGGAAGTGAGCAACGGTAGCAGGAACTTCTGGAATTATTTCCCTCAGGCTGTTTTTTGAGAGACTTCTGGCTCTGTGTTTGTGGGTGCTTTGAGACAGGTACACCTATTTAGGATCTCCTGGGGATTTGCTGCATACACAGAGGTATGTTAGTGCGTGTGGGTCTGTGTGCTTGATTGAACAGCTGTTGTTGAATCAAGATTGAATAAATGTAAATTCTACAACTGGAACAAACTAGATTTAATTAGAAGTGTTGTGGCTGATTCTGTTGATTATAAATCAAATATGGTGTGTGTGTGTGTGTGTGTGTGTGTGTGTGTGTGACACAGCAAAGAGACAAGCATGAGTGCTGCACACATGGTTGTGTGCACCACATATTGATTAAACAGCTGTTCTTGTGTCTAGATTGCATAGATGTGACTAGCACAACAGGAACAGCATAGATTTAATTAGATAAAACTTGAATTTTGGATTCTTTATAATTCAAAGATGGAGAGAGCGTCTTTACCTGAGAGGCAAATTATTTTCCTCTCTCACTTTCTTTCTTCCCTGTCCACTGTTTCTATACTATACTGAAACCAGTAAAACTCAGTGAGTTGACATTAATTAAAATAAGAAGCTGAAACTTTAACAACACCTTTGGGGAGTCAGTGCCACTGAACTGGCAAACAGTTCCAAAATACTGTAAAATTAATGGTGTGAATTTAAATAAGATTTTAACAATTAATAACATAATCAGACACATGCATCAAGCAAATGCAAAACTGGTTTGGCAGCTATTAATAATGAAAGTCTTCATATCTGATGACATGCAACATGGAGGCCTTAGTAGCAGGTGCCCCTGGTGTATGGGGTAGGTTCAGCTATATTACTGTTGCTTAGGGAACATGAGCGCATTCTGATGTGCATGTTGTGGAATCCCAGTGAACCACCCTCCTGGGCTGGAGGATGGATGAGGCTGACCTGCAGTTCATGTGCCAAACCCACTAGAAACTAGGTTTAACTTATTTACTCTGCCCTTGTTTCTTGCTCATTCCAGCTGCAGTGACCACAGAAAGCGGTGCAATGTCTACATTGACACAAAAACAAAAACCACACACAGAAACCAGCCAACTTGGTGGCACTCACTGGGCTGTCGTAGACCTTCTTCCACTCATCACTGAGGTGAACTATGCCATCACGCAGCCCTTTAAAATGCTCCATCTGATCCAAGCGGCAAATCTCGTCCCAAGATTTCTTGGCAAGCCAGGTGCAGGAATTTAAGTAGGGGTTATCCAGGCCTACACCACCTGTCAGAAGGAAGCGCCACTCCCCCTCATCCACCTATGACATTAATTACTGTTAATTACTTTCTATTAAAGAGTTAACACAGCAGATGCTTAACCACAATTTGTGACTAAGTCTTTTAAAGGTTTACATTTTGGGGACTATCTTTGGAAGTTAAAAATACATAGTAATAACCAATTGTTTAAACTTAAATAGCTAGAAAGTTATTAACATCAATCAAATGTGCTTGAATGCTTTTTAAGTATTCTAAGTGTTAAGTGTTATAAATGTTTACATGTGTACAGGGTGTGTCCTACCAGGTTGTTGTGCATCAGCAGATTGACAGTGAGGCAGAAGGAAAAGAGCAGTTTATCCTTCTCAAACAGTGAGCGACACACATTAACATATAGTGTGTAGGTAAAGTGGTCTGTCAGGATCCGTAGTCTGAAAACATATATACATATGTTAGCATTTTAGTCATCTTAATCAAACTCATCCATTGTCTTGGACAATTGATAGCATTATGGACAGTACGGTATGTTTCTTGTGAGCCAAATATGATTTTCCCAGGTGTGAGTACTTGCTCGAGTGAATTGTAGGGAGTAGTATTTGGCTGGAGCATTTGTCAGTCCTGCTTACCTCTGCTCCAAGTTATCACTCTTGTCTGAGTTGTCAATGGAGCTGATGAAGAGATTAATAAACCAGGTGAGGGAGTATTGGTACATGGGCTCAATGTTAGCTAAGTCAGCGATGGAGAAGAACAAGATGGCTGAATGCCCAGCAATGGGTTTGTAGCCCATACGAGTCTCATCAATCTTTCGCTCTGTCATCTCAGACACAGCCTGCTTCTCTGTGATTTCATTGGCTAGAACCTTGGAGCAGGAGAGGATCCCAATGGCCTTCTCATCCTCCAGGATGCTGCCCTCAGAAGAGGAGAGTACCTCCAAGATTTTGTCCTCTATCTCCTTCAACTGTCTGCAAAAAACATACAAAGACATATTTAACGTGCCAGCAGATTCTACACTGAGGAAGGAGATCTTTTATTAAACAGGTTCAACCCACTGTACCTCTTGTTCTCTGCTCCCTGCAGGATGAGAGCCTGTTTCTCTTCCTCCAGATCAGGTCTCTCCCGGGCCACCACAATGCCCAGCAGCTGGTCCTGGATGCCCTCTGGGGTGATCATGAAGTTCAGAAGAGTCACCTACAACACAGAGAAAGATGCACAGATATACAAGTTACAGACATAAATATGCACAAATCTGTCTGTGTGTGACTGTGTGTGTGGAAGAGTGGAAGTGTCTTGCCCCCATTTAAGTGAAGTACTTTACAGTGCAGTGTTGATCATCATGTAGCTTCAGTGCTGTTCTCCCCAGTGAGCTCCTACCTAATCAATTCTAGTAACCACTCCAGCCTTGGCAAAGTACAGTCGGATGCATTTACTTTTTTTCATTTCTGTGAAAAGGTGTTGCAGCTCAAAGTGAAGGAGTGTCTTTTACCATAGCCTTAGTCATTCTGCTTTGCACTTACCCGGAGGTTAAAAGCCTATATCTGCTATCTGCTCTCTGCCCTAATAAACAAGTGCACTTCTCCGGGGTCTAATTCCATTTCTATTGATGCTGCGGACCCACTCAGCTGATGGTAAAGACTCAGAGCCCATATAAATCTCCTGTTTGTCCTTTTCACACATACACCCCCCTTCGCTGCTTCCTATTGTCCCTTGAGCTCCTTAAGGGCTGGTTTACTAGATGTTTGCTTCATGTATAGCATGTTTTGCATTTGAAATAGGGCTTAATGGGAATAATGGAAGCCTCGAAGAGTACTGTAGTCAAAAAGGGGAAAAAAAGAGAAGGGCTGTGAAAAATAAGTTGAATTTATCTAATAGCTGCCCATAAAGAGTGGGGCTCCTGCAAATAGATGCTTGAAATGTGATCTTCAGTAATGCTTTCCAACCCCTTCGCTTTCCATAATGCAATTTCCTTTAATGCCCCTTTTCTTGGAATACTTTTTTGGGAGACCGTGTTCCACTGGGGAGGTGGTATCAGTGAATAATGATTCGCTGAGCTGGTGGGGTAAAAACATGCTGTCATTTGAGTGGTATGATGCAATAAGTAAGACCCAGCAAGTAAAAGTAGAGCTCATCTATCAGTGCAAAAAAAAGAGGTTTGTTGTTTTGGAATAATGGCTTGAAATAATTCTTCACTGTCAGACAAATTTGCTAAGGTTACATTTCAAATTAAAGATACACGACCCAAATTGTGAAGAGCAACACATTTTGACTGAACAAACCCAGACTAATAAACCCTCCTTTGCCAAAAAAAAAAAAACTGCACATCTGTGAAAACTTAGTTCTGTCTTTTGAACAACACTTGATATAGCACAACAAACTAAGTTGCTTGTTGCTATTAGGTGTGATAAACGTAATCTGAAAAGCAGAGAAATACAGATGTCTGTGCTGGCTTCCTGTGAGAGCCTTATTTTATTTCTCCATTCTGTACTGGCAGCAGCTCTGCTGTGGAAGATACATCTAGTCTTAGCTGTGGTGGGATTGAAGGGTACCAGATCCATCTGTGTGGAAGGGGTGGGTAGAGGAGGCATGGAGGATTGCACAGGGCTCATTACAACAACACTGACACCTGCAGTAGACACACACAGTATGTGTGGCTACTGTCAGGAAATTCTACACGTCATGACTAAAGGTATTAGCAGACTCAAGTGTGTCTGTCGATGTTTGTTTATGACCAGTGAAGGCACTGTAGATGGAGGCTGCAGTGGAGGAGTAACATGACTTTTTGAAATCTCTTACACATAGTTCTATTTATGTATCTACATGGTGGCACAAATACACCAAAGTTAAACTATATGTAAGTCATGGCAGTGAACTGTGGCAAGCTGACCAGTGGGACTCACAGCAGACAATTTTATTGACAACGCTGTAATAAAAATGCTACATACCCAGGTTGCTCTGCCTAAAATGATTTGCCTTTTTAGAAATGTTTTCATTTGAACACAGCAGTACAGTGTTTATTAGACAAAATGGATTTTCTGTGTTAATATTAGAATGCTTTTCTAGCAGCTGTACCGGGACTGTACTGGGATACAAAAAAATAAAGCAGTGCCTGGTGCCGTTTCCCATGACATTACCTTGACAGAGGTCTCAGGCAGATAGTGTGGGTTGCGTAACTTGGTGGTGATGTAGAAGCGAAAGTCAGGAGCATATTCAATGGTTGATTCTCCCAGGCGGATACACATGGCACCATCTTGTTTAAAGGTCTGTCCCAACAGCAGAGGCTCCAGGATAGGGTCCAGCTCCTCACCGACATTCTCCAGCAGCACTGAAAGATAATGTTTAATAAATATTTTTAACTAAAGGAGGTTAATTATTTTCAGGAGAGACCCTTTATACTGACATGTATATGGGGCTAAAGTATATGAGAATTTTGGCAACAACCAAGTTCATACACTAATCAGAAATTTATATTAGCTGTACTGATAAATCCTTAGTTTTTAAGTATGACCATTGTGGCTGCACTGTAGTCTCACCATAATAGTTATAAAAGCATAACCATCGTGCTCTTTCAGCTTCCTGTGATTAGCACACACCAGTGAACTTTCATTGCAGCCCAGAAAGTCCATGAATATGTGCATACATATGCAATGCCAAGAAATCAGTGAAGCAAGTAAACATTTACAGTTAAAAATGCCTTATTCCCATGACAGACTTAATAATGTAATTTCGCATTATGTATGATAATGTTAGTAAGAACTATAGTCCATCTATAATTGATCATTATGCCTAAGGCTTTTTAGAGCACTCAAGGACAGTGACAGCTGATAAACTTTCCCGCACAAAACAGCTAACCAGGCCAATCCTCTGCAGTTTGCATTGTTTTCTTCTGATACATCACATTTATATTGCTAATATTTCAGCAAATTAAACAGTACTTTATATTATTTAATAGATGTATGCCTATGCCGAGAGCTTTGGCAGGTAAACATTAGTTAAATCATGGTAAAAGAAAGAACACTAGTACCTCATTAGGATTACAGACAGCAATACAAACAGCAAGAAACAAAACTGTGAAATAAGAGAAAAGTGAGAGTGAAACTGTAGCCTCTCAGGACTATTTGAACCCTGCAAGGACAAGCTGCCCTCTTAACTGTTAGCCTTGCAGTATGCCACTAAGCAAAGACAAAATGGTAGACTAAATCGGGTCATTATTTAGACATCTTTTTAATGACTGTATAGCTGTCTCTGTTTCTAAATCTACTTCCTGTCTTCCTGTTCCCCCTTTTACTACCTCAGAAACCTATGAGAAGACAAAAGTGCCAGCATCTTGCCAGTGTTGGTTTATATGTGGTGTGCTTTTACGTATAAAAAGGAGGAGGGATATCTTCTGATATGAGCTTATGAATCTAAAGGGTACATCCACACACTAGCATTAGGGATTGAAGCAATGCTGTTCCACTGTAAGGCTAAAGAGTGATCTTTTTATGAAACAAGGCACATAAAGACAAATAAACAGCACAAAAATAGTCCCATCGTACACTTGTCAATTTGAGCACGATGGTGGGCTTATGATTTACAGTAGGTAGACACACAATTGGTGCAATAGGCTCACACAGAAATGTTCTTTATATGAATTCTTCTACTGCAGAACAAAGGAGAAAAACATTCTGTGCACAACAGTAATTGGTCCCTGTGGTATAGAGACCTCAGCCGGTTGTATCAGGAACTGCAACAATATGCATGAGGCTCATCACACACAGACAAGGTGGCAACAGCAGAGGCATCAACCCAGAAAAATACTTATACTCACCTGGTGTGCCAAACTGGATGCAGTTCTCCAGAGTGCGTACATAGTCAGCATCACTCAGTTTAATGACACGTAGGTTGTTGGCCTTCTCCATTTTTTTCACCCACTTGTTGGCCTGGCCCTGGGGATCGATCATCAGAGGCCACCGCCTGGAGTTACTACAAACACACCTACACACAAAGTAGCAGGTGATCAAATCATGGTGCCTTTTAAGTGTGATCTTGTAACTGTTGCAGTTTTTCTTAGTCACTGTGGTACATTTCTCAGAGCTACTTGCTCAACCTCCATATCATCCAGTCACTTATGAAGATCATAGCAGTTTCTCATTGTTTTGAACAAATTGCAAATGCTTTGGCACATTCATGCAATTGATTAGGTACAATTGTCTGCTGTTTAGATTACATTATAAATTACTTCTGTTGGTCAAAAACTATTATACTGATTCTCTGTTGAATAATCTAACCTCCCAAAACTAGTCATTAGGTCATTGCAGATGTCATTAGGTGAACTAGTTGTCTTTAGTATCTGTCAGGCATATTCTGTACAGCTGTATTAGACTTTATTTTGCAAAGTTGTATGAATTGATGAGATGCTCTCAGGTGAATCTTGACTTTCACTAATCAAGGGGAACCTGTGAAGCATTAGATCAATCGATGATCAACCAGTTGTCTATTGTAAAATAGCTCAGATGTGCATCTCAAAGGCAGCTGAAGGTTGGAGGGTGTTTTCTTGTGTTTACATTTCTAATGTGCTATATACAGTGCTGTAAAACACATTCTGTATCACAATGACACAGGGACTGGCCATTCTGATGACAGTGACGTGTTCATTGGCATAAATATTTACTTTTGAGAGATAAACTAAGGATTCTGGGCAAGTGACACCCTTTGCAGGTAATCTATTGTGTGACGCTGTTTGTATGAACTGTCTCAAGAAATTACTGTTACTATTACAGAAATATCAAGAACAATTCATGAAATGTACCAAAGTGAGTCGACTGAGAAAAACTGTAAATGTGAGATACCACAACAGTATGGGGAGTATTTATGGACAAAAAAAGATGTAGAGAGCAGCTTAAGGGTGAACATTCACTCGGAGCACAGTTAGACAGCTCACAGTTGGATAGCACACCAGGGGCCATAGTACTGTGATTAAAAAGCAATGTTGCTGCTTCATTTACACAAACAAGCAGATGCTTTGTGATGTTTTTACTGCACCTTAAGGTTGAATCAGACAATTTCACATGGGCTTCTAAGATGAGTAACAAAGTTCTGTCATAGCCTTACGGTATAGTATAATATATTAGGGTAGACTGACTGGTAATAGGCAATCTAATTCTTATCTTTTGTTAACTGTAACTCACTGTAATCCAGGTCAACTAGCTATTAAAAATACACAACTGCATTCTGTTAAACACTGAAGCCTCTTCCATTTGCACAGTGAGCAAGTGAAAAGTGAAGTGGGATGAAAAATAAATAGCAGATGAAGCTATTCATACTCACGATAAGAAAAGCCCCCATGGGGTGGAAAAAACCAATCCACTGCTTTTCCTCTATTTCAACTAAAATTTGCAGGCGCAAAATTTGCAAGTACTGCTTTTGAGAATCATGCATATGAATTTCAGTTTTCTGTTAACATTCATCTCATTTTGGGAGCTTGAGACACTGTCCAATTCTTGTACACACATCAATTCAAGTACAAGTCAGTCTTTTTATGTACTGAACTGTACAATGTTATTGTGTAGGAATATATATGTTTTGTATCAAGACTGGCTGTAGGCAGATGCTCGATATTAAAAGACTCAGAACAGAAGCAATAAAAAGTTATCTTAGCCATTCACAGCTAATAATACAGTTTTAAGCATTAAGAAAATACTGGTGCCTTTTCCATCAGAGAAAATGCCATGTCAGCATAACCTTTGTCTTCAATGCTCACGAAATTATGATGCCGTTGTCTATGGAGAAGCTGTCTGATGGAAGGCCTGCAATGGTCCATGCACGAATCTTGACGGGATCACCCAGAGAGTTCATCAAAGACATATTGGGCGAGCATGGGATCCCTCTGCTCTTACAAAGATCAATCCATTTCTTTGTCTGATCCTAGAGAAGTGTATATTTACTTGTAATGATATTTTCTCTTTACTACATGTACAGAAACAAACACTAACCTGCAACCAAATAGAGCAACAAACAAAAAACAAACAGAAGGCCTAGTTTACTGAACAATTAAGCTATACACAAAAATTGCACAGATTCACACATACATAAAAACAGTTTGATTTAAAAAGAGTAGGCTTCAATACATGAAAATGAGCGACACACACAAGCACTTCTGTGATAAAGTTAAATAATTTACTCCCTTGTTTTCTGTATGTCAGCATCACAATGCCACTACATCTAACACCGTATAAAAGATGACCTTTAAACACTGGCTTAATCTTTTCTTGGAGTTTTGAGGCTGCGTACCTTCAGAGCATTTATTTTCCACCAAACTGCTCATAAGCATTTGCCTTTTTTTTTTTTGATTACAGTGTGCTTACAAGAAACAAATCATTAGCCTCACAATTTATGAAAATATTAATTCCAAATGTAGCAGCTAAGTTAAAGAAACTTTAATTAAAGCAGGTAATATTTATCAAACTGTGTGAACAAGGAGACTGATAATCATCTAATAATATGCTACAATTCAATTCCAAGTACTGTATGCACTCCCTTGACTTACCTGTCTGTAGCTGGAGGTGAAAGCTCCCAGGTAAGCCACTATGCCTGCTGAGATAAGAATGTCACCTGTCAGGTTTTTGTACAGCTGTCCCAGATTGAAGGCCATTTCACTCCAGCGTGTTTTCTCTCCACCCAGGCCTCCAGTCAGCTGCTTAGCTCGCGCCAGCTTTTTTTTGCATTGATCGGCCTAGGGGGCATCATCGGAGAAGAAAGGCAATAATTTGTTGAGCTGCTGTTTTCCAAGGTCACAGAATGGAAATGAAGGACATGTGAGCCACAGTAAGCCTGTGTAGTTCTATTGTCTTTGACTTGGACTAGCTATCTGAGCTCCTTTATCATTACATAGTCAGATAACCATGTACAGTATGCCTGCTGATCCATCTGAAAAGTAACTGTTCTGTTTTACCTTAAGTGGTGACAGCTAAACAAAATACAAAACTATCCTCAATCATGTGAACACAAAGACAGATAAAAGCACAAACCTCATTTTCCAGTCTAGCCTTCTCATTTTTATTGTCCTCCATTGTCTTTTGAAGCTTTGCTTTTTTTTCTTGAACTTCTTTGAGGGCTGCTTGTTGTTTATGGACGCTCTCCATGGCCACCATCAAGACCTTCTCAGCCTGTTCTAGTTTCTCTTTCTTCGGAGCTACCACTTTGTTCGCTCTGAAGCACAAATGAAGCATTTCATTCCAGAGTTAGACTTTGAATAATTTTTATTAATCAAATATCAGAGCAAACAATATGAAATTATTTTGTGATATTATGTGATGTTATTAGTATATTTATAGTGGCTGAACATGTATGGGTCGTATCACTATGTGGTGATTGGGGCACTGTTTTCGAACACTAACTGCAAATGGGAAAATTGAATTTTGGCTGCCAAACTGTGCAGCAAACTTTAGAATCTATAAGTAACGTTTTAGATATAAAATATTTCCTCTGAAAGGATTCTCATTCTGGATTTGGTCTGATACATTAATCACTTTGGCATTTGCATGGTACTGTAAACAGGCACCAGGAAAATGGTTATTCCATTCACATTACCAAGCTTCATATTAACCACTAGAACAGAAGAAATGCTTGCCAACCTTGCTGACCATGCATCAATTTTTATGACTAAGAACGCAGAAAGATAAGATCATTACTTACTTCTCGAACTTGTCGATGGCACAAACCCACTTACACATACCCTCAGCTGCGGTAGATGCAGTTCGAATCTTTTCTGGCACAAAGTCAGGGTTGGTAATGTACTTGTTGCGGATGATGGCAATGACATGTGGTGGAATGTTGTCCCTGTCATACTCATGGAGGCTATGGAGAAACCCCATGTCTCCCAGTAGCTTTTTGGCCGGGCCCCAATAATCCTCCACTTTTTTACCGGAGCCTGTGGGGTCCGGCACACGATCTGGTTTGATGCCTTTGAGAATACAGATTGCCTCCATCACCAGTTTGACAGCTGTGGGTGGGCTTTTCATGGACTTCAGTACTGTGATATCCTGTACATAGAAAGAACCACATCTATAGGTCTACCCTTTTCACATGTTAGGCATTATCTTGCCCAAGCAAAAACACAGAATGTTCCTTTTACCTGAGGGGTGAGAGTATTCAATGCAGCCAGAGCTGAGTCCAGAATAGGCCTTGCTTCAGCCAGGTCAGCATCACACTCATCCTTAATGGCCTTAGCAGCCGTGGCTTTTTGACTGGACTCAGCCTCTTTCATTTCCACCTCCTTTTCTTTTTTAGCCACCTCAACAGCTTGACGCTCCATCATCGCCACCGTCTCCTCTAAATTTTTGCTGGACTCAAGAAGCTGTGGCTGTAGAGTTTCCAGATCAACCTGTATAATGGCCATCTGCTTTTCTGCTGACTCTAGCTTCTCAAGACCCACCTCATAGCGATTTTTCAGCTTCACCACCTCACTGGGCCAAGGATAGAAAGAGAGAAAGAAAATAAATCCTAATCCTTCAAATGTAACCTGGAAGTTGGCTTTTGGTGCAGAGATGTCCTGATTAGCTCTTCTTTGTCCCTGTCTCCAATTCAAGTCCAGTCTAGCTATAGGAAACCTGATCTAGTCACATTTTCAAAGCTAAAGTAGCACCTGAAGTCAGAAAATATCAAATAACTGTTAAAAACATAATGCGCACATACAGAACAAGTTAAAGTTTTATCTCACACTCTTCTTCTCTCCAGTAGGGCCTTGAAGGTAGAAATAAGCTCAAGGTAAGAGGTTGGGGTGACATAGTTGTGGCGCTGCAGCTCAGCCAAAAAGCGAGTGGACAGCTCAATGGTTGAAGTGTGGAAGATCCTGCACATACTGATGCAGCCTTCTCGACTCTCATCTGTCATCTGAACGTCCTCCAGGAAGCGACAGGCCACTGCTTGCAAGGCATCCTCAGGCCAGGTCTGAAGTACAGAAATATACTGTACTGCCACAATATTATGGATACATACAGTATACCAGTCTGCTATGACTGACTGTTAATGTCATCAAATACTACTGAATGGAGCCCATAATTTACAACACACTGTCTCTTTTTAGTGATTCACCTACTTGAGACATCCTTTATATGGAGAATACATGCAGCATACATACACCCACCTGAAACAAATTAATAGTGCAGCAGTTAATGAGTGCAGGGAAACGTCTCAAGCGGCTCCTAAAAGCATCTCCGATTGGACTCATGGCCAACACCACATGCAGCTGTGTGCGACAGCGTTCTACAAACATGTTGAAAAGGGATAAGGGGCTGCCATCTGTTTGCTTGTCACGGTCACGCTGGCGGTCCAACACACGCATTTGCTCGCAGATCTCCTGCTTCTCATCAGCTGCAAACAGGTTAGGCACCTGGAAACCACCAAAAGATACTGGGTCTGTGTCTGGATGTTGACTTGTGTGAAACATGACACCTTTGAGACTTTCTCTCACTATAACCATGTATCTATCCACAACCACTTGCCACAATCCTTTTCTTAGATACTTTCTTCTTTCTTAGCCTTCATCCAAACCTTCCATCACTGAACAGTCTTTCTAGCAGTTTTTAACTCCTCCATCAATCCATTCATGCACATTAAATCACATTTTTATTCATCACACCTTTTCTGTCTCCTCCTAGCCACTTTACCTCACCGGTGTTGAGCAGGTTGCTGATGTCCTCCAGGAATGACTCCATTTTGATTTGAGTGTCAGTAAAGAGGAAAACGCCATGAGCTTCACCCTGTGTAGACTTCCTCAAGATTAGCTTCAGGTCATCATGCCATTCAGTGGTCCCATAATTCTTGGAGATTTCCACCTGGAAAAGGTCTACCTTTCCCATATAGGCAGCCAAACGGGTGAGAGACTGACGTCCACTCCCACCCACACCTACCAGCAGGGCATGTCCATTTGGCTGCTTGAGGATGCGGGAAATGCGGCACACATGCTCAATAGCAAAACGAAAAAGCACCAGATTCATGGGTGCTTTGCTGATAGTGTTGAACTCCTCCAGGTGGGACTCCACCACCTGTTGAAGCTTGTCGAGGTCATGCACCTCACAGTAGTTGCGGTCCTCATCTTTTGGATCGTGGAAGTCGCAAAACAAGAGGTTGCGCAGGTCATCTTCAGTGACCTCCCCATCTTGGTCCTGGTCCAGATGTTTGAAGAGCTGATGAAAGTTTTCCTTCATGTGAGTCTGAAATACCACCTGTAAATGGTTTACCAGCCAAGACCTATCTGTGTCATGGACCAGTCGATCATAGTATACCCTCAGGATCTGAGAATCAACAAGAAAAAGAATGGATAAATGTAGGAGACAAATAAAGAGGCAGACAGATGTAAAGCAACAGACAGGTGTTAGTTTGACTAACTTATTTCCATGTTATCACAGTACTTGTGTTTTATGCATTTTAGTTGCATAACATTCAGGTATTTTCTAGCATTTGTTAGTTGTGCACAACAATACCTCATGCACCCAAAGTCGTTTGATGACAGATGGTTCATCAGCAGTCTCTGGTCGTGACAGGCAGATGCCCTGGATCACCCGGGAAACGTCACGCAGATTGAACAAATAATGGGACTTTGCGGGGGTCGGCAGCAGGTTCTTGGTGGCCTCCTGGTACACTGACACGGTGCTGTTAACGATCTGGGAGGTCAGAGCTGCAAATGGCTTAGGGAAGGCAAACCTGTGGATGAGATAACTGACTCACTGTTCAGATCCTGTTCAGGTTGTTTCCACAGTTTAATTAGAAAAAATTAACCTGTAAATGTTTGATCATTCACACTTAGTCCATAAAATATACAGTATATGATTAAGGATAGTTTTATCATCAGTATTAACATGTTTTCAAAATGCCTGACAAAAATTGCCATTTTGTTAAAATGCAAGTGAGAAAAATCCAACAGATTTGATTACTTTAAAGATTTGCACTCCCTCAGGCAAACACTGCAGCAGTGCAGAAAAAGACAAGGTAAATAATTAAGATTAATCCTTTTATCTTTATGCACAATATTGCAGTTCAATCTGACCAATAATTATTGGCTAGTAATAATTAACAATTCATTGCTAAAGGTGATGAGATACTACCACTGTACCTGAAAATGTGGTGGGTCAAATAACGGGTAGGCCATGGAAAAGTAGCCCGCTCTCAAGTACACGGGCTATTTTTCCGTGTACCCTGTACTTTACAAACACTGAAATTGAAAATTGTAGCTCAGAAACACCAGGAAGCACTGGAAGCACCTTCTCCATTGCAGAGAAGCTCAATGGATTATACTGTATGTAAAGATGTTAATGAACATGAAGATTTGTTCCTAAACATAAGCAGTCTGCATCAGTGTGGATAATACACCATACCAGTTACATGCTCAGTTAAGTTACCGTATGGTAAAATGCCAGTCAGTGATCCTGGAGAAGATTGTATACATTGTCCCCTCATCAAAATCATTAATGGTAATCATGTTGAAGTGGCGCAGAAATCGAGGTGTGACAGGGTTCCGCCCTCCACCTAAACAAGAAGCAACATACAAACAAAAGTCCTGGACTTATAACATTTTTAATGCTTTAATTGAGTGTTGTCAGTACTCTACAGCTTTGTTGTGTTCCAAAAGAAACAAACATGAGAATACCTAAATTATTTGTGATTCTCTGGGAGAAGTGGTGCATTATCTGATAGAAATGCAAGGGTGCCAATATTTTTAGCCATGACTGTACTGTAATTCAGTAGCCAATATGTGTGCATAAGGAAATGTGTTTATTTTATGTCTCGATGGTGAACAGTAAAGCTCTTTACGTTCTATTTCTGTTCAATCACAGCTTTTGTCAGAGGTGACATACAAATGCTAGCACACTCTGTCTAGCTTTTTATCTATGTTCTACGTAATACTATTTAACAGTTAACCCCATTCAGCATTTGCCCACACTTTTCTGGCCTGTTGCATAACTGGTTGTTCTGATATTGGATAAAACAAGGAAACAACATCCCCCAGTGACATATAAACCAGGCACGGGGAAACCCAGTTACTGTTTCTGTGGAGTGCTTACTTAATACCAGCTCCACTATTCAGTGATGTGTGGGACAATGGACAATGGATAATGGGATATAGCACTGCCCTCGATTAGAGACACAAGTTTACATTGGCACACAGACTGATTATATTTGCTAAATAATATCATACACACAGAAAGACAAATCTAAAGTTGGTATACGCGGGTATATAATGAGCTCCTCCACTGATTTTCTTGGTGTGGCTTCAACAGAGCCAGAGCCTTGCTGGGTGGCAGCTTAGAACAGCTAAACAACTGTAAGACACAGGCACCAGCAGCAAATACTAGAGCTGTGTGGACACCTCAGAGTGGCACCCACCCTCCTTCTCTTGCACCTGTCGCTGCCAGCCACCTCAGTGGACAGGGGTTCTTTTATGGTTACACTGGTAGTTTTAGTGGAGGTGGAAGTGGTAAACCTTTGCTATTTGTGAGCACCTCAAGGCAATGAGGAGCTCCACAAAACAGCAAGCAGTAGTTTGTGACATAGACTTGAGCAGCAGTTAAGAGACAAAAAAGTTTACCTAACAACCTGTATTATGTCAGGCAATCTGGCTTTGAAACAGTATCACTGATGTAGCAATGTTGCTTCTAATAAATTTAGAAATGCTACAGCTACTACTTACCAGGTGGTCCCATAGCACATATCATCTGAATATCCACCAGGTTGATCATGGAGCAGTCCTTCATGTCATACCAGTTCCAGTGGTCCAGCCACTGTCGCAGCAGCTCCACAGGGGGCTGGGCACCGTAAGCCTCCCTGGCTGGCATGTTCACATCATCCACAAATACCACCTGATAAGATATACCATCAGAACACTTGAAGGAATGAACAGTAATGATACAACAAGTTATTTGATATATTCAAATCTACAATCTTTTCTGTTGGAGATGTATCATAAAATAAAATGGCACCTGTTGTTATATATATTAAAAAAAACTCTGCACAACTGCAATATTTTAGTGACTCACTTCATTCATATGAGTGCAAACTGAAATATACCAACATAAAACATGACATAAAAAGAAAACAAAGAGAATATACCATTTTCTTCCCAAGTGGAGGACCAAACACTCCTTTGCGCCGCTTATCTAGCTTGGACATGATCATGTTTTGGGTCTGGGCAGCTGTAGTCTGGGCTGAAAAGCTAATAAAGAGTGGGCTGTACACATCCTTCTGCAGCTTTTTCAATAGGAAGTCCTGGGCATGAGAGATTGGGAAAAATGAGCACTTTAACTACTGTATACTGTACATTACTATGAATATATACATTTGTATGTGTAACACAATAATACAAACACACGAGACAATGCAAAAATAAAAGAAATGCAGTGATATTTTAATAATGAGCACGGTATACCAAAAATGGTACAATTATACACTTAAAGTAAAATGTCTTTACTGCATTTTGTATGTTTTTGACAGGATATTCAGTACAGCCTAAGTGACTGAAGAAGTTCTGTCAGTAATTTTAATCAGCAAATAAACCAAGGAAATAACTTGGCTGATCGATTGTGCACTTGTACAGTTAAAGAAAATGCTTAATATGTTGAAAACATTTAGGTCTCTCTACTCTTGAATCAGCATGAAAAAAACCTTGTGCATGTAAAATGCATATAAAATGATGATTTTCAAGTCGATCCCAACAAATGGCTGTGATAAGCTTTATAATCTAATTAAATGTAGCATATGGATTTCATTAGATAAAATTTGGGTCTCAGTTCATCATTGAAAATGACTTTGTAATGAAGTAGGAAATTAGTTGCCCTTTGAGAACATGATCTAAAGTAATGTTCTGCAGGTCAAAGGGTAAAATCTTTGGATTTTAGATTCTGCATGAAGGTTTACAAAAGGGCATTTTACTAAAAGTTAAACAAGGCTTTTATGAAAGGGCATCTTGATAAAATGCCCTTTTGTACAACTGGCCTTCTGCTAGTCATTGGTGACCAGATATATTTTAAGAAGCTTTGATCCATTTTCAAGGTATTATGTACCATGTGTGCAGAAAAGATGCTGCATATTTAAACTGAACTTGTAAAGTGAATGATCACAGGATGCAGTCACAGTGCATCAACATCCTCCTCCTTTAAATTCTAAAGCAGTGGTACAGCTGGCCTTGAGCAGCTAATGGAGCTTTGTGTACAGATGTCAAATAGTACTAGTGTTGGCACCGTGACATATCATATTCTTATGCTCTGAGTGCTGGTGTTCCTTTATCAGTCTTGCCAGATTTGAGATTCAGCCACTGTCTGCTGATTGCAGCATGGGACTGAGCTTCTCCAGCTTGGAGACAGGCAGAGTCTCAGGTTTGAGCACACTAATGGATGAACTAATGAAGCAAAGAGAAGGAGGGGGGATTAGTCCTTGATATAAATAGCCGAAGGTCTGCTGAGAGATATTCAGTATTTCTCTAAGGTGGCCATTTCACACCAGGTGTCTGTAGCTGTGTAGCTTCTAAATGATTTGTGTGTTCAGAGCACTTACTCTAGTTTCTAGAGACTGGGGCAACACTGCTGAGAAATGAATGCTCACTCATCCTGCAACAGTGTTTTTTGGGAGCACAGGCAGTGTTTCCATGATAATAATTTATGCTACTAAAAATGCTTTATGTTCACTCCCCAGTTCCCCAGGAACACAGACAGAAATGGAGACAAAACAGAGATTAAAAAAAAGACCAAACACAGAAAATAATAAAAAACTTGTGGTCGACAGATTAATCGGGCTGATTTTTGGCATATTTAGATGATCAGCATCGGCCAATTACAGTGCAGTCACTGGCCGATGTCTGCATGTGTGCTACAACTGTGGGCAGTGCAAGTATCATAAATTTATGTTGTCTCAGGAAAATGCAACTGGTAAGTGCACTTAAACAGGGCTCCAGACTGTGAGTGATCAGTCACATTTTGCGACCAAATTGATTGAAGGAGTGAGGTCGGGGGCTGCTGGGGGTTTGGGAGTGTGTCCATGTTCCCTCTATGGAGGTGAACAAACACTTAATAATCATACTGATTAATATAGGCTAGTTACTTTTCAGTGACAGTTATAACCTAAGCGTTTTTTTTAGCGATTGTAAAACTAAGTTGTCAACAGTTCACTGGTCAGTGCTTCAGTCAGTAATGTAACCACAGCTTGACTGAAAGCAAGACGTTCTGTATCAGAGCAGCTGTTAGCCATCAGCTCCCAATGAGCTGCAAGGACTGCAGACAGACAAACGGTGTTCTCCAGGCTGACCAACAGTAGAAATGTGCTGGACAACAATAGTTTTCATGTAAGTCTTATGCATGTAATCATAAAAGGCACCAGTAAAATAAAAAAAATGGGTGATGTGTGGCTCACACCCATGCCTGTCGGGAAGACAGTTCATAGAATTGTATGAAAAATGCATCTAAAGATGTGCTCCACCTGAAGTGGCCTCAACTGCACCTGTGTCTGTGACTCGGCCTGATACTTTACTAGCTTCCCTAGCTTCCCAGGCACTCGTCACTGAGGCGCTTGATTAAATAACTGATTGGCTGGTTTGAATTTTTGCCATGGCCATGATTTTGGTGTGGCAGGGCGCCACAGAAAAATGTTACCAGTAGAAACACTGAAGTGTCACCGCCCCATACAGCTGCTTCATAGATCACCTGTTATCTTGTTTAGGGGTTGGAAATTTTTTACTTGAATCTCTTCTTATGGATCAGGCTCCTGGGGTTACTCTGAGAATATTCCCCCATTGTCTGTAGCAATATGGGGAAATTAAAATTAATAAGATCATACATATAAATGCTGCTGATTTCTTGCTGATGAGCCTACATGAAAACTGTTTTTGTCCAGTATATTTCTGCTGTCAGTCAGCCTGACCATGCTGACCTCCTGCTTACAGACAGCTGTTCTAATGAGAGATGCTGCACGGAGGTCGGAGTCAGTGTGGCGTGAACTGATCAAACAAGTTGTGCATACATGCTGCTCACGTCCAAGTGAAGTCCCAGTTTGTAGTTAGTAGTGGCTGAAACCCACCATCAAGTCCTTCTTTGTGTAATAGGCTACTAGTGACTTAAATAAGCTGGCACTTCATCAGGCAAGTGAGCGAGTTGAACTGTGCATGAAGTCCTGCACAGACATCGATAAAGAGCAGAAATTGTTCTTCAGAAGAAAATGGGCTACAAATAAATCACATACACAAACAGCAAAGCATGTGAGCAATTCATCAGTTTATACATCACCTGAAATGTAATAGCCACGTCTTCATCATCATCATCATCATTATCATGCTCACTGCAGGACTATAGAGCACTACAGTGTCTATATAAAAAGAGGTGGAAACTTGTTCCAGCAGTGACTTTCCCATTTACAGTGTTCCATAACATTCCTCTCTCTCTGAATTTCATTATAAATACAGGCTATGCACATTGGATAATAAGGTTATTTAAAAGGATGCATTTTGGTGAGAAGCAATGAATGTAAAAATTTATTTATTACAAGAAATTTTCGCATAGTACCTTTAATACTATTTCAATAATGATTGTGGATTCGGAAGTGGCATTAATCTTATTGATGACAGCTACACGTTGTCCAGTAATGGTAGTAATGATAATGGTAAATCTAGTCTGAAAATATTAATGTTAACTCCTTAACTGGACTGAACATGTATACCAGGCAAAAATCAAGAGATTTGTTGTTGTTGTGAAATCACATCACACTGGTGGAAAGCAGCTAATCAATTTACTTAAGTTCTGTACTTAGGTACAATTTTGAGGTATTTTCATTTTGTGCTACTTCATACTTTGACTTGAGGGATCAGAGTACACCTTCCACCACTGCAGATGAAAACATTTAGCTGACAAAACTAAGCTAAGAAAGCAAAGCCTCTTTTTCTATATTTTTGTTGCATGTGCTACCTACTACATCTGCATCATTTCTGTTATCTTCCTTTCTCTTAACACAGTATATACCTTAGTTCCAAACTTTACGTTAATGAGAAAATACATAACAGACAACTCACTGTAATGTAGACACTCTTGCCAGTACCAGTAGGACCAATGAAAATAGTGGGTTTCTGATGGGTGACAAGGAGCTCCATCAGTGCCATGTAGCGTACTGTGTTCTCAGTGGGCACGATGATCTCACTGAACTGCATGTCTTTGCTTATGGGGGGAGCAATCTTTAACTCATCTGTCCATAACTCCCACCTGCCTGGTCCCTGAAGAGAAAATTATAAGTTAAAAGTTCAGTTTTATCTTAAAAGACCATTGTGCTCCCACTCAACCAAAACACCATATATCTAGTCTGTGACTATATATAGACTAATGTCTATATTGTGAGACATAAACAACACATGAAAGGTCTATAATGTTATGTGACCCTTTCAGAACTGATTCATGTCAAGAGGCTACAACAACATCAATAGCTGCTGAATATAAACTAAATGGCTCAGAAGACAAATGTACCATTAATCAACCTTTAGCTTTTTATACTAAAGACAAATCTAAAGCAGTATTACTGTGTAGTCAGATTTCTTGGTTAAACCCATACTTACTCTGCTCCTCTAATTATACCGTAAGAGCACATGAAGCATATAAAAAAACAACTGCTAAACAGAGAGGTACTCTGACCGGATGTGTAGGATTATGAAAGTTTCCTTTTATGATTACTATACCCAGTTATCTTAGCAAAGAAGATTTAAAACTGATATGTCAGTCTGTCCAGTGCACAAGTGCTTGATAGAGAGGGGACTCTCCTCTCTCTTGTGTTTGTCAGCTGTACAATTATCATTACCTCTTTAATGAAGCGGTACTGGTAGACTGTTCCCTTAGTGGGCAGGGGAACTGTCAGCTGTTTAGGTGGAGCCTCGACAGTGGCCAGAATGCCATGGCAGGCTTTGGTCTTCTCACTTAAAGGCCTGGTCAGTATTTCCCTTACCACAGCATCAAATTTAACCCGTCCTGAATCATCACAACTGGCACCCACTGACCACACCAGGCAGAACACAAAAATGCCCTGTGTAAAAGGGAAGAACCAAAAACCTGTCAAATTATATTCCTTTTTGTATATAATGTGTGTCAGTGGGTTCAGGAAAGCACAGGTGGAAATATCCTTCATCTCAGACAGTGTATACATGATTTTAGATAGCCTAAGTGTTACAATACACTTTTGGGTTGTTACATCATACATATGAGGCTTTAGCAAAGACTAAAATAAAAGCACCTCCCTAAAAAAAAATCTATCTGACCATTATAATTAAGTCCAGTACTTAAGAATACTATGTATTTTTGCTCTCAGTTAATTGCTGAAATTGGACTGAGGCACATTTCCTATAGAGTAAACATGCTGGACGGCTATTGTTGTTAGGCTTCACCCAGGTTTCTAAAGCTGAAACTAATTACTGAGTGAGGATGGATGGTTTTGCATATGGTATAATATGCAAAGTTGTTGTTTTAATATATATTATCATAAAATATCAATTATTTCCAGGCTCAAATTTGGTATTTTATTGTTGAATATTTCAACATATTTTACCTACCTGAGGGTAAAAACCCATAAAATGAGCAAATCTGTGTTCAAGATGTACAGTACAGTGAAAGATGCAAGTATTAACAACTACCAGAATTGGCAGACAGATACTACCACACTGTGGCAAAAGTCAAACATAAAAAAATTGTTGTAAACAGACAAAGTTTACAGTCAAAAATATCATGCTGTAAACAAGGATTGCAGTTACTAAACCAATTGAAATGTACAAGAACCATGTAAATGCCTCAAGAATTGTGCAGATTATTTTATGAAACAAATGTCAGAATCCACACAGGAGAGCTGTCTTTGTTGGGAAAAACAGCAGGAAAAGTGTAGAAACTGGAACTGATGCTTTGCAGCCTCACAATAGCTCCTGCTGTTAAAAGGCTGATTAATTCAACACTTTGATAATGACTGGCTGAGAAACATGGGAGGGAAGGCTCAGAGGCATTCATCAGTGCAGTGGGCCACGGGGAGATAATAGCACTGCTTTCAAAAGACATGATTCAGAGGCAAAAAAAATCAATTGCAACTCATGCAGGGGGCTGTGGAAAGGGCTCATCTGCTAAAACTTTTCCTCTTTTCCTGGGCCTGTGTGGAGACCCAATTAGGACAGTATATTTAAAAGAGAAAAGGCAGGTGCTTTGGTGTATACATTAGTATACTGTGTTATCTGGTAAAACAAACATTTTTCAAAGCCAAAGCTAATGCTTCATTTTTTTCAGCCCAAACTAAATACAACTCAGACACAGATAATAAAAAGAAATGTATTGAGTTTTCCCTTTAAAATATTAGTACTTCAGACTTTAACGTAAGCACCTTAACTTGTTTGATGACACTGGTCTGTTAGCATGTTGTCCTGAAAGTTTCAGGCATGGTGGATTTTCCCTGTAGTTTGGCAGCGCACCACTTTTTCTGCTGTTCATCCCAATAAATCAGTAATGTTATCCATTAAGCACAGTTTCTTCCATTATGCAAGCCCTATAGTTTGATGCTATTTCTTTATACTTCCACAGACAAAACAACAAGCTGACAGCATCCATGCAAAGCAAAGCATAACTTGACAGTGCCAGCTGAATTTTTTTTAACCAGCATATTTTCAATTAATATTCTAAGCATATAATAAGATTGTTTATATTGATTTACAGTGATATGAAAATGGTTGGCTAGTTTGTTTGGTTGGTTTCACTGCAGTGCTATTTGGAGTACAAAGACAGACTACAGTAGTTGCTTCCTCTCTTGCAAGGACAGGTTATTATAGTCTTCGAGGGCAACTTTTTAACATAAGATGTGATGAAATGTGAAGGGTTACAAGACTTTGTCTTGGAAGTCTTGGATGGAAGTTTAGTATTTCTAAGTTCTTGCAGTTCTTTTTTGTTTGTTGGTACTGTATCATATCTAGTAATTTGGCTATAAGGTCCATTATGCAAACAGATATTTTAACACAGATCTTATGAAACAGAAGAGTATTGCTCTGGGTACTTGTCAGAGTGGGAAGTAGATACTGTATATGAGGGACTGCTTTCAATGACACAGGGCTAAAATGCTCTTGTAGAATTGTGGACCTACATTCGCTCAATAATGATGTCAATAATTACTTGGATAAATAGTAGTAGTAGTAGTAGTAGTAGTAGTAGTAGTAGTAGTAGTAATAATAGTAATAAGTGTGGACACAAACCTCCAACCAAGAGCAAATATCTTTCTCATTCATGCTTTTCATCTTTGCTTCATCATAAAACTCATCCATCATGCAGTCCATCAGATTCATCAGGGACTTGACTAGATTGGTGTCAGAGGTCGGGGACAGCTCCTATAATCAAGTAGAAACATCAGAACATGAAAAGAACTGATTTCTAATTAAACTTTAGGACTGATGGTGACAAAGTTGGTTTAGTTGACCAAACATGGCAATGGTGAAACACTGCTGTATGAAAATGGAAAGCTCTAAAACTTTACCTTGAAAACATGGAGCAAGAAACACATCTGTGTAATATTTAAGCTTTTTGTATGAGAAACTGTAGCAAACTCCTCACATGCAGAATTTAATTCTCCCATTAAAGAACATATTTATTTGCAAACCAGTTGCAGCTAAAAAATGAATTTCCTTAAGATGGTTCAGTACCTTAGCAGCCTTTCGAAGGAGCTGTAGGCAGGCTGGCAGTATGCGGTCGAAAAGGGCAGAGAGGAGGTCTTTGTGCGTGGCACTGACTGTGGCTGGCAGAGTATTGAGCCAGGAGAGCATAAGAGGCCGCCAGCCCAGCAAATGAGGCTCCATGTAGATCATACCACAGCGAGACACCTGCCACAAGTATATATCACATCTGTAAACACAACTGAAACCGTGGTACTTAACTAAAAATGTACAATCAATTTATAAGAATATCTTTCTTGATGCATTATAGCGGTATATCTTAATAAGTAGGTGAAACTATTTGACAAAAACCTGATTTAAAATAGGCCTTTTCTCAGAAAATGATTTAACTGTGAACCTGTGACCTAGGTACAGTATGTACATGCAGTGTAGTGTAGATAAGCATTCTGGTGGCACTGTGGTCCTAATTCAAATGAACAATATACCATTTATGAGTAGATTCCCACTAGTCACAACATATCCTGTAGCTCTGTGCTGTAAATACTATGTGCGTAAAAGATCCCATAGCGCCCAGTCCCACACAAGGAATAGCTTCACAAAGGAGTAAAGCTAAAGGTAGAAAACAGCAGAGATGATTTTTAACTGTGTAATTTGTTTTAGGATAGAGGCAATCTATAAGCCCATTTTGGGCTTCTGACTTCTAAGAAATTCATCTTTAACAATATCCAGAAATTGGAAAGCATCACTGCTACAACACAACTATAGCCATGGCCAAAAATAGTGGCACCCCTGCATTTCTGTCAGATAACGCAGCACTGAGGAAATTGTTGCAATCACAAATTCTGTAGTATTCTCATGTTTATTTCTTTTGTTTGCATTGAAACAACAAAAAAATTCAGAGGAAAAAAAGCTAAATCTGATACATTCCACACAGAACTCCAAAAATAGACTGGATAGAATTACTGAAACCTTTTCATAATCATCAGAAATAGTTGTATTAATTATAACCTTGGCTGATTTCCAAACAAATTCAAGCTGACCTGCAGGCACAGGGCATGACAGTGCCTGGGAGAGTGGTGTGTTATCTGACAGAAATGCAGGGGTGCCAATATTTTGGCCATGACTGTAAGCAGGATGCACTGTGATGAAACCCTGAATCAAAGTAAAGGCGGTTCTCACTGTGGCTGGCGATGCAGCCTCGAGGTCCATAGGCTCAAAGATGAGGCTCATTTGCGGTGACATCTGGATGATCTCACCACTCATCAGACACAGCTTCTTGTTGTCATCGAGTACTGTGTTCATATTTTCAATCCACACAGCATCCACGGGGCCATCAAAGATGAGCCATTTTCTTTCGGGGCTCTGAAACACACAAGAAATAGGACTGCTCATGTCCTGAGGGGACATTTTCATCACAATCTGTAGCACAATTACGTGTGTGTAATTGTCTTTCAGTACCACCAGAATGACATGAACGCAGCATAAGTCATAATATAGATCACAAGCAATCACCAGTAATGATGATTCTAATTTTTATTTAACCAAACCTAAGTACATATTCATATCAGGCAAATACAGGCTATAATAGAGCCACGTAAAATGATCTAAACCTTCATTACAAAGATTACAATGATTATAATATTCAGAATACTTGTACTTATACTTTAGAGAGGTGTTGATAAACCATCATGATTATTTTGGAGGATGCAAATTGTGGCACTGCTAAACTGTCATGTGCATTGACTGGTGTTTCTACTATTTTGTCCACCCCATTTATATCAGTGAGGCTAAGCTAAATAATAAAAGCATTACTCTGAATAATACAGCGCACAAACTCCACTCCAGCCTCCAAAATGATCAAGTGAACATTGTCATCTTCACAAAAAGAGGATTTTTTTTCAAGACTGTTGTATAAGACTGTATTCATTTTAGCTTGGAGTACCTAATAAACTGCCAACTGAGTGCAGACAGACAGGCACTTACACCTTTAAACCCTGGGGAGGTGTTCCACTTCAAGAAAAAGCCAAGCTACATCTACCAGCAGGTTGACCCCTGCAGTGTTAAGATACACTGCTAACAGAAATCCCTGCATACTTTCAAGGTCACAAAGAACTTCTGTGCATCATAATCTAAGTGGAGAATGTTTACTAAGGGAATGAAATTAACACCTACACTGTCATAATAAAGGTTGACAACACACGTCAATTCCCCAGTTAAATGGGCTGGCAAGAGCTGTGCTTTAAATTGATTTGTTGTAATATAAACAAATGGAGACGCCTGGGTTGGGGCCATCTGGTGCTTGAAAGGGAACTGAGTATGCTGTAATGCAATGATCTGACAGAAAGCATTGGCACAAAAAAAAATTATATTGTCTATGCAGAGTTTAATACACTACGCTGCAGCGAACTCCAGATTAACACAAAAAATTTGTTCTGTAAAATATGGCGCAGAAAAAAAGAAAGCAAAACAAAGAGACTTTTGCCCAGAGAGGAAAAGTGTCTTTCTTGAAACTGAATTAAGACAGGCCTTGTTCTCATTTTGTATTTTCATTGCATCAGTATGTACTGCCGTGGCTGTCATAACCACTCCTCACACTCCTTATTCATTGCCATAAAAAAAAAAAACAATTTGTAAAATGACAACTTTACACAAAGACAGTTTTTAAAGTGACAAGTTCATTTGGAAACAATTGGAGAATAGGGCGAACAAATGATTTTCCATTATGACATGCCTCCACTGCAATACGTAAATTGTCTGCCGATGTGTGTCTAGTTTGTGGCTGTGTGTGCACAAATGAGTTATTAAATATCTAAATTTAACAAGACAGCTAAATTTTTTCTTTTGTTTACTCTGTCACAGCAGATTTTCTTTTTACCAGCATGTAATTAATGTCACACCTATTTTACAATGATCCATCCGACACATGTGAATTAAGACGGAATAGACAATAATACATCTCAGTCTTACCTTCTTTCTCCTTGACTACGTATACATGCTACACCTTTGGCTGCATCCTTATATACCACAAGTGCAACATGCTATGAGATTTTAACCCACAGAAAGAAGTGCGCAGCCTGTTTCTCTTCTAAGGGGTCCAGTTCTGAATTACATTATTATGAAGAGAGCATATAAAAAAACTTCAGTAGAGTAAGGATGTTTTCACACTCACTTCCTTTTAAATGAACCAAACACAGTACTCTTAAAGTGGACCAAAAAAGGGGGACCCAGTTCTTACTGTGTTCACACTGTGAGTACATTTGAAAGAGGCCTCAGTCCTCTTTCTGTTCAAACTATAGTGACTCTGGAGTTCTCAGACCTTTGCTGCTTTTACATATGGCTAATGTCAAAGGATTCTTTACTTTATCTCTTTTTACTGCGTGTGGTAAAGTACCTTTGATGTAGTTTTTTCACTTTGATGCAGCAGTGCAGTTGGGTCCTAATGATGCCCTTCACTCTCATATGAGCTGAAAACTGAAGGAAGCCGTTCAACAGTACTACTACCGATACTGCTTATTAATCTGGTACTTTACTCCTATTAGCTGTTTTTGGTATTTTTTAAGTTAAAAAAATTAAGAAGAGCATTAACATTGCTTTACTTTTTATTTTCTCATAATCACTGTTAACATTCTTGAGTAGCAAATTGCAACAGCATTGTTTTGAACAAACCACTAGACTATAATGTGATTACTGGAAAAAAAACTGAACACAAGACATTTTCTGACAGTACTTTTACTGTGAGGTACCTCCAGCCCCCAAATCATTCACTGTATCTGCCCCTACTCTGAGCGCTTTCAAGTGAAACTGAACTTCTGAACGACAGTTCACATGATGCTTTGACTACTGCAAATTGAATTTGTGAATGAACCTACAACAATCCACTGGCTAATGTTTATTTTATTCATTAATCCATATTCGTATCATTTAGTTTACTGCGTGCGCAGGCTTAAGGCTGCCTAATAAATAACGTACATGGGCAAGGAGAGAAACTATGAGCTAGTCAGTGGAAAACTGCATTTCTCCATGATGGACTTTCACTCTTTCAACAGATTGCTGGCGTTTCCACCCTTACATGCAAAAGGCTAGAAGCAAACCTGGAGCATTTTGTGTTCACAGTGCACACATCAAGTGAACTGCATCCCGGACTTGAAATGAACCGAACTGAGACCACCTCCCGAGGGGGTCTCAGTTCAGTTCATTTCAGAGGGGTCGGAGTTCATTTGGAGTGTTCACATTTACGCAAAAAAATGCTGACTAATTGCTCAGAGTTTGTTTTGAGGGCTGAAAGGGACCAAGTGTGAAAACATCCTAATTCAATATGTCTACAGTGTACTACCTAACAAGTAAGCAGCCTGAATAACTATTTTAAGCAGATATTCAGAGGCGAGGTCACTGTAACTAGAGTATGTATCTGCACAGCACACTGTAACAGATATAATAATACTGCTTGTCACTGTAACTGGTGACACCAAGTTGCTTCAAATGCCAGTTTCCATAGAAACAGCATAGTTTAAACATCTTTGAGCCATGCAGATATTATGTGTCAGTTAAAATGCAAGTTTTTGAATTCTACTGCAATAAACCCAGTGAAATGTTTACATATGTTTTATACTGGGTCAGTAGCAAATGAGTCTCTGATTAGCTGGCAGGAGGTTAAAATAATATAACAGACATAATATAAGATAACGTTCCTAAATGACAGGTATTAAACTACAGCCCTACTTGTGCTTTATGCTTGATTCCCAGTTAAATTATTGCAACCAGGGAACCTTAGATAGCCCAGTGGTCTCAGCTTAAGACCATTTTGAGGTAGGACATGGGATCTTTTAGCTTACCTTGCCTGTTTCTGGATTCATGAAGGAGGAATTACTTTCCTTCCTTCGAAGGGGATTGAACAATTTACAACTTGCCTCAGGAACAAGATTTTAGGTAAAAGTCAACATTTAAGATATTATTTGTGCATTTGTGTAATTATACTGGATTACAAGTACTCAGTGCATCCAAAACAGATGTCTGTGCAGATTCTCAGTCACCCAGGTCATAATAAGCTGAAAAAAACTTAGAAAAAATCAACTGGACTAGATTTCTAGGTCACAGACGTTTCACCTCTCATCCAAGAGGCTTCATCAGTTCTGACTGATGGTGTTGAGCCAGAGATATTTATCCCCCTCAGTGGTGTTTCAGTCCTTTGATGGCCAACAATGTCCCTTAATCTGAAAAAACCTTAGAAAAAAATCAACTGGACTTAGATTTCTAGGTCGAAGACGTTTCACCTCTCATCCAAGAGGCTTCATCAGTTTTTTCAGTTTACTATGACCTGGATGACTGAGAATCTGCACAGAAATGTCCCTTAATGACTGAGTCGTTGCAGCCCAGTATCAGTGAATGTCGTTACCTGTCTTTGAAACCTCCCCTGTCAACCGACGCCTATTGTCCTGGTAGGCATGTATGGACAGAGATCTCAAAACAGGATTGTAGATGGAAGACAAGTTGTGTCTTAGTCCACCGCCCCTATTTAGTGAGGGCTGTTCTATTTTTACAAAAATAGCTTCCTTAACCCCTCTCTCAAACCAGCAATGTTCTCTGGAAAGGATCTGGACTTCACTGTCCTCAAAAGAATGTCCTTTGTCCTTCAGGTGGAGGTGGACTGCTGACTCTGGTCCACTGGAGTTGGCCCTCCTGTGTTGGGCCATGCGTTTGTGAAGCGGCTGCTTAGTTTCACCAATGTACAAGTCGTTACACTCCTGACTACACTTAATTGCATACACCACATCACTCTGTTTATGAATCAAATGTTTATGTAGCAAATAAACAAAAAAACAACTGCACACAGCAGAGACTGTTAAACATAGGTTTAATTCTGTACACTTAGGCATTTGAATATTATTTAAAACTATTTTCTTGAATAAACTGGGGACTTGGGCAGTGTGTACCCTTCCTGTAAGCTATGATCAGCTCCAGCCCTCCTGTGATCCTTCAGAGGAAAAGCGGTATAGTTAATAGATGGATGGAATTTTGTGTTGAGCTTGGGCAATACCACAGATTTTATTTTCAGATGATCAACACAGGTCCAATATACTTCTACCTTCAGGCTTCTGTCCCCTCCCAAGTGGACTGCACAATCCAAAAAGGCCAGACAGTCATTTCTGGCATCCTCCCGAGTGAACTTGATGTTGTCATCCACAGAATTGATATGCTTGGTGAAAGCCTCTACCTCCTGGGAGAAGTTAAAAAGGATCTTTTGTAACCACAATATCCCAGTTAAGTTTAAGGGACATTGTTGGCCCTCAAAAGACTGAAACACCACCGAGGGGGATAAATATCTCCGGCTCAACACCAGTCAGTCAGAACTGATGAAGCCTCTTGGATGAGAGGTGAAATGTCTTTGACCTAGAAATCTAGTCCAGTTGATTTTTTCTAAGTTTTTTTCATCCAAAACAGATGTGTGATTGAACATGCACAGCTCCCAGGTGAGACCATATTAATCTTTATGAAGGTCTCAAGGAGACAAAATACTATGTGTTTGTTTGCTTATTTAATTGGCTGCACTTAAACCAAAATCTGTAATCTTGAGGAATTAGCCAAAATACTGACAGGATGCCATCTTACCTTGGAAGCAGCAAATGTTCTGTAGCTGACGGCGAGGATGCCATCGGACCACTCGTGAGAGACGGGGTCAAACTGACCATACAGTTGGCCCATGGTGATGGATTTCGGGTTGATAACTGTAATTTGGACCTGTTTCTCATCCATCAAACCCTGGTGTAATAAACACATGTATACAAACACAAAAAGATAATACACAGGCATATCACAGAACTAATGAAAATGGAAGCCGACAAATACAAATTAAATACATACACACTTATAAAAATACAGTACATATACAAGAGAATTATTTACTTCACTTGTTAAAGTTTTCTCTTAAAAAGACAGCAAAATCAACAACTTAAACGTGATTAACTGAGCATGATGAGCCACTCACTTGGGCAACTTGTCAATGCCTAGACTCATAAACTGCTGATAAGATTACAGTTTGTATGAGATGACTTCTGCTAACTGAGAAAGAGAAGCAAAAAGCTGCAACAAACAGCTTTCCAGACAAGGTGTCACTTTGAGTTAAAAACAATGAGTGCGAGCTGCTGAGAAAATAAATAAATAAAAACAGCAAGGGAGAGAGGGTTGGACATGATCAGTGGATGTGCAGCTACAAGGATGACGATGATAAATGTGGCATTCCCAGGCATTTCATCAGCAGGCCTTCATCTGTCTCCTTGGTGGGATGCCTCTCAGTCCTCTCAGCCATGTAAATACAAGAAGCCCGTTCTGCTCTTCTCTGTGAGATCGATAACTACTAAACAAAGACTACAGCTGTGACAAATTGGATGGATGTGTTTACTTGGGACAAACATGTAGCTGAGATAAGCCTTGGATATTGAGTGTAAAGCATATTTTACTTGACATGAAGGTTTAGGACTTTTTTAACAGATTGAGTGAGTTCATGTCCCAAGGACTCAGAAAATCCCATCAAAATTAATAATGAAATACAGTTAAAATACATGGTCAACCATCTGAACATAACGCTTTTTTTTCAAAATTTCTGACTAATCAACCAGGCTGATACCTGATATGAATACAGTAAATAAGTAGGTCCTTAAGAATGCAACCAAAAATATAAAATGGGTTAAAGTAGCTCTTAATCAAGACTTGATGACACATAAGAAATTAAGAAATATAGCTGGCCTAACATGACACTTTTGTTGCCGTTACTTTAAATCACAAGCCCTTTGTAATTTCTCCATCCATCAAGGTTAGCATATCCATCATTTAACATTTAACAGGACATCATACCTTTTCACAGACATCACGAAGGGCTGCTGCCAGTACACGGTAGGCACTGGTCTTCCCTCCAAAGGGCTCACCCACTATCATGAAACCATGTCTCACTAGCATCATCTCAAAGACCTGCAGGATTTTCTCAGCAAAGAAATCAGTGACTTGTAGGTTCATGCTTTGGCAGTTTTCCTTGATGGCCTCAAGCAGGATGTGGTAGTCACGTTTCGGGAGCTGGACCCCCGGGAAGAGGTCAGAGGTGATACCCTGAGATAGAAAGGTAAAGTCGCTGAAGAAGAGTAAGAAGGGAAGCTTGTGGCAGAACACATACATATTAAACACAACTTATATTCAAAAATTAATTCACCTTGACACTTTTGGGGTAAGGACAGTTAGATAAATGATGGGCACGCACATATTGAAAAAGTCAGTGTAAACCATTCACTGATTCATACACACAAACACAATCCAGTGACCTGCTTTGATACAAACTGACTTAAATTATCCATGTTTATCGTTGTTCCAATTTAACTGACTGGAATTAACATGGACTGACATTAGTTGATGTAAATCACTCCAGTAAAAAGACAGAAGGAGTCCAACTTTATCGCACCTCAAACAGTTCCAGATCATGGGCCAGGAACTTGGGCAGATTGACATCAATAATTGATCTCAGCAACAGGGTGTCTTCGTTCTCCTCTGGGAAACTGAGCTGCAATGAAACAAACCCATCCCAAAGGATGAAGAAGGGGAAAAGGAGAAGAGGAAAATGAGAGTTGAAAAGTCAGAGAGTGAGAAGAAATAAACAAAGGTAAATAAGGTACAAATGAGAAGCAGCTGATATATGAGGCTTTATGAAGTCAAGCTTCACTGTAAAGTTTCTGTCTGCCATATGTGACCTATATGTAGTGGACAATCACAACCATTCTATTCAAGAAGAGTTGTCAGCTGTAGCTCAGGGTCTAAATGACACCTCTTCTTTGCAAAAGTAAAATTTAGAAAGGCATCAGGCTGTCTCAGCTAAGCTTATGTAGATCCTGTGGGCATCGGGTCACTGAAGTGTTCCCATGTTTACAGTACATCAAAAAAGACAGGTGCCTGATGAAACTCTATTTCTTTTAAAGCCAAAATCACAGCTATTTTCTTCCACACACAGTTTGTCATGCTGTGTTTGAAAAATATGCAGGTATGAGCCAAAACATGGATTCTGAAAGATTACTCCTGCAGAGTAGATACACATCTTAGGTGGAATAAAGGAAATTTTAGTTGTGCCTGCAAATCAGGTTTCACATTACTACTACTACAGTATGTAATCCAGTTTCCAAGATGAAGCTAGACATTACACTCATCTATATCCTTGTTTGCCTTTTAATTTGCTCAGCACTACTTCATCAACACACAGCAAGAGATGAGAGTTTACTGTACTCCAAATGGTCTTCTTTTCACTATTAGTCTTTTAGTTCAATGAGCAAAGATGATTCTACTCTAATAAAAAGTCTTTACATAAAAAGTAATCATCATTAGACTCTCAAAACATATACCGTAACAGTATGAGGTTTCTAAAAAATGATAAACAGACATGCTTATAAATGTATTATGGTTATGGTGGAAAGAAAACATCTTATGTTTTACAAAGAATCCCATCTATCAAATCTGTTTTGTGATACCTTGAGGTTTCCAGCAGCAGTCAGCACAGACTTGACAGCTCTCATCCCATAGTCGTAGTGATGCTGCGAGGACAGCTGCTCTGAACAGAGGCGATAGGTAGCCACAATTTTCACTGACAGCGGCCGTGCAGTCAAAAAGCCACAGGAGTAGAGCACAATCTCTGCAATCATTGCATAGTCCGGTACCATCATAGCCACAGTCCTGAATAGAGCCTGGTGTAAAGAGATTGTTTTGCTCAATGGAATCAGTGATTATGTTTAAAAACACCTTGAACTGAAACAGTTCTAAAGTTCATCTTTTTCTGATGTTCTGTCATTTTTACATTGGTGATGTTTGGAGACGGCTACAACAAAGATTCCTGATTTTCCAACTATTATTCAAATTTCTCCTTTATTTATTCCAGAAATCATACTTTGGACATCTATAACAGAAAGAATGGCCAAGCAGTGATAGTGTACCTTGAGGTTGTCTGGTAGCTCAGAGCGTCCAGCGTAGCCAGGATTCATTGTAATGAACACAGCACAGGAGGGGTCCAGTTTTAGCTCTGTCCCTTCAAACATCAGCATCTCAGTATTGGCAGCAATTCCTGGACACACAGATGTAGTTAGCTACAGTTTGTATTTGCCTTATTCTTTTGTACTCGCTCTAATCAAGGCAGTTGCGCTACTAACGGCTGCAAATCAATCAGTGTGTTCAGGTCTTTACTGCCACTGCAGTGTTAGGCTGCTGCCTCTTTGAACTATTTTTGTAATGAGCACACACTATATACAGTATATATAGAAATGTATAGCCATATGCCATTTCATGTGACATGCACATGCCCATCAGAGATACATCATGGGTCTGTGCATACTTTCATGCACATTCAAATACAAATGCACACCTCTACACTTAAGACCACGCTCTGAAGCTCAAGGCTTGTCAAGTCAGTTTTATTCAGCCCAAAATCACTAATTTCCTTAAGACAATTCATAACAACATACAACTCTCTCTATCCACCATTCAGAAAAGAAAAAACTCCAGCTTAAAAAACAACTGTGAAAAAACGGTTTTAACAATAATGAGGCAACAACAATCTATTAGCATTTTCCAACTTTAGTTTTGGGCTAAAAAGAATTTATATACTCCTTTGGGTCTTGCATCTTATGATACAAATCATTTGACAGCCAATGCACACATGATGCTGTTGTGCTGCGGTGAACAAAGCTGTGCTTGGGGTTCTGCTGGCCAGCCTACTCAGATTACCTTAGCTCTGTGTGGTGCTTCTTTGTAGTCTGAAAGGCTTTATTTGACTGGAGAAGATATACTAGATTTGTTTCTGGTACACTGCGAGCTTATGCAGATATCAAAGAGAAAGAAAGCTAGAATGTCAAAGAAAAGCACAAACCTCTCTGTATGGTGAGAATCTGTTGAGCCACCACCGACAGCACCTCCAAGTCAATGCGGTTAAACTCATCAAAGCAGGCCCAAGCGCCGCATGACAAAAGGCCCTGGTCACACATGTACACACACACAGTCACATGGAGAAACACACATGCAGAACTCATTTAAACAAATTTAAATAGCCTACTGCCACATTTCAATATGATAAATGGGAGAAATGCTTAGTACGGTATACGTGTGTTGTAGGCTTATGTGTCAAAAAAATGGGATTTTTTTTTGCAATTATTTAGTCTAGCTCACATAGCTTTCCATGTTCAAGACACACACATAAATGTAATCGCATTACACTGATCGACTGCATCAGTCCAGGGGGCAGTGAACAAGGCTCCCCGACTGAGCCATGAGTGCAGTGCTATTTGTGAAAGGACACATGTTGATAGTCTACGCTTTTTTCATGAGAAAATTGTGGCAGCAACACTGTACATGTGACTGAAGACGTAAAACAGTTTTCAAGAGCTTAGTTTCACCTTCGTGTAGGAAAGAAAGCTTTTTAGTATTTATCAGTTAGGTTGTCACTGATGTGTGTTTAATGTTACAGCAGGTGAGCGTGCTTGCAAAAGTCGGTGAGTGTGAAATCTTGAATTACTGGTGTAACTACTGTAGTTGTAGAAAAATTGTCATAACAAGTGAATTCACTCACTTTGAAGAATTTCCCCAGTGCAATGTAGTCCAATCCATCAGAGCAGTTGAAGACAACACACTGCTTAGCCACAGCTTTGGCCAAGTCTTTGGTTGTCTCTGTTTTTCCTGTGCCAGCTGGGCCTTCAGGGGCCCCTCCCAGATGGAGGTGGAGGGCACCAAACAAAGTACTGAAGGAGCACAAACAGATAGAACAAAGGTCATGCAACATATTTTATTCTATTTATATCTATATTCAATAGTTTGAAAGATGTAGTTTGTGCTGCTTTTGAACTGTATTTTGTTATTCTGACAGGCGCCTCTATTATTTTGTCCACTCCATTTATATTAATTACGCTAGATGAAATAACAGAAATACCTGTCAGTATAATGCAGTATATCAACAGCAGTGAGCATTATACCCTTGCTGAAGAGAGGACTGACTGCACGACTGATGTATTAGACCGCATTAGTTTTACCTAGGTGTAATAAACTGCCAACTGAGAGTATATCTTTAGCAACATAAAAGGAACATGCCGGAATAGGTCCACTCCAGCTTGCTGACAAAACATTTAGTGAAATGTTGAAGTGTCTGAGAGCTTCACCGCAGGGAAACATTTTGAAGCTGTGTTGTGAAGGTGGCAGCTTTCAAGTGCTGAGCTTTTAGACACACCTAAACCTCCTCTCTCAATATAGCCTGATTTGGACAGTTTTAGCACTGCAATATAGAAACGTGCCAATCATTTATAAGTGAATGGAAATAATGACTGTTGTTAAGCTTTTCACGCATCTGAAAACATGACTGAGGTGAATACAATGTCTGCAATGTGCGGCATACTGTACACATTTTATTGTCCCAAATGAAATGAAATGATCAGCTATCCAATCTTGTGTGCTTTTTGTTTGTACGTGTTTTTTTTTTATTTCCAACATCACTTATATGAACTACTTAAAAATATATTCACCACAAAAATATACAGTTTTTGACAAAAATAATGCAATGCAAATCAGAAATGCACATTCACTTAGATGCATGTTGTTATTTGGACTCTTTCAGAGATCTATTGTGAACCCAATGACATACTTAGTGCAAAATAATAATAGGATTAGGACATATTTTGATTCACCTATGATTCAGCTTCAAATGATAAACATTACTGGTGTTCAAAATGCAATTTCATAGTTTAAATTGATGTAACTTGAATCAATAATATTACAATGTCATCATTGTTATTGTACCACTACACTGTGATCAGTAAACTGCCATTCACAGCCAAAGCCCTCATGGGGACAGTAGTCAGCCAAGTTCTTACAGTAGTCTTTAAAAACTTGGCAAACTGTCCTAGTGGCTACCTGGGGAGCACTGTGCACAAATAAGATGGTTTGATGAGCATCAGTTATTTCCAGATTATTTCCAAATACACAGTAAGGAAGAAATTTTAGTAGCTCAGCAACAACACACTATAGTTTTAAGATGAGGCTATTAAAGCATTAATGTGTTTTTTTTCCTGCATCTGAAATGGGACAAGAATGAAGAGATTCTGTAAAATTAGTAAAAAGGTGTGTGATTGATTAATACTGTAGGAATCTACTGTAGCCTGGGTTTTATAGAGTCATTAGAAAGACAACACCTCTAGGTGCAGGCATTTCCATTAAATAACTGTTAGAAAAAGGCAGGCAGGGATCAATTGAGGGTGCCTGTGTGGTGGCTTTACCGGTAGCAGCGGTCAGTGAGTGGGGTTATAACCAGACGCGGTGTGTTGCCCAGATACTCGTAACCATAAGGCAAACCAGCATTGATCATCTTGGTCTGGAGGTGGTTGTCCTGCACAGCGTGTAATGCAAAATTCAGAGGTCAGTCAGTATTTATTATGAATGGAAATAAAGCATTAAATTATAACCTCTATGAGCAATGTATAGCCCTAATGACTCAGTAAAGACTTACACCAAATCCCCTTCCCCCTAATCCACCTACCACCCAGTAGTAGCGCAGTTGGCTAAGCCACTCAAAGTCATTCTCCTCATTTATTCCCTTTTGCACCAGCGTAGCCAGCACATCCCTGGCATGGACGTCCAGCACAACCAGGGCTTCGAGGGTCACTCGGTTCTGCTTGGACAGTTTGCCACGTACAAGCGCCACAATGTCGTCAATCTGTCTATTGTTCTGCTCCAAGTAGGCATCTAGAGCCTGAGGGACACAGGCATCATTAAACAGAAGGCAGAGCATATTTATCAAGACATAGAGAGAACCCTATCAAGACCCCAGCTATAAAATGAAGGTCACAAGTTTGATCCCTGCATCAAATATCAATGAGTCCATAGCTGTCAAGATGTCTGAGTAAGACAACAATTTTCCTTCTTTTATAAGTATTTTTGGTAGCTAGGCATGGTCTTTACCCTATAAAGTCAAATATAAAGCCTTTTGTCTTGAGGGAAATTAAAAGAAAAGTGTAACCTATGATACAAAGGAGTTCTCTTGTCCAACTTTATAAAACAAAATTATATCACATCTGGTGATGGTGGAATTGAGTAAATAAAACTTGTCAGCTCATAAGCTATAGTTGCTTGTCATTTCATGTGACAGATCTAATTCAACTCTCACTTATTCTCACTGTAACTATCAGTCACACCAGCTGTTCAGCCCATATTTACCTACTGTATGCCTATATGTTTAAAGCTAAAGTGCTTTGAATTACTGTAGATGACAGTTTGGAGATGTGCCATCAGGGAAGTCATTACCGTAACACATTCATTTGATTTGATTTGATTTGATTTGATTTATTCTTTCAAGCATGTAAAGACAGTTGATATGTCAACACACATAATTTTACACATATCCAACAAATGCTAATCCAATATCAATTTGCTTATACCTAGTACATGCTTGAATGGAGTAGGAAGAAGTCAGACTTATCCAGTCCTACCCCATGACATCATCTTACATCATTGGTTTGCAAACAGTATCTCTTCATAAATAATTCTCTTCTACACCACACAAGTAATATACTAAAAAAAT